ACCACAATGGGCGCCCTTTTTTGAAAACTTGCACGAGCACGATGAGGCAGCACACTGACTGGATTGGCCGACATGGTGGGCCTGGCCCTGCCCTGGCGTGGGATGTTCAGTCTGCAAGTCCTGGGTCCAGCGTCTCCTCCCGTCGGGTTCTGGCATCTGCCCTGATCCATCACCAACAGGAGCGGGCTTCTTTCCGTTCGTTACGGAAATCTGCAGTCTGCGTGGTAGTTGTCTCATTGACTGGGCTCTGCCTCCACTGCCTGGTATATGCTGGCTGACACACGTTTCTGTAGCCTGTCGGTTCGCATCCAACATCTCATATCGAATTCGACCGTCCTTCGTCGCCAACGCAAACTAAGATACGGCCTAGGCTAGCAACGATACGCCAGTAGACCGCCTCGAGAACATCATCGTCACCAACCGTGGCTTTGGCAATCATCTCGCAGGCCTGCAAGACGCGCAAGGAGCCAAGACTTGTTCGCTGGACTCCGTATTCGTGATACATGGGTGTCCTCTTCCGTTCATGCTGTTCAGCTGCCAGTCTCGACCGAGACCATTGCCCGTCATCTGCAACAGGCCACGCCTCCTGTCGCTTTGTATGGGTAAGATTGGCGACCCCCACACCCGCTATCGATGATGGGCAGGGCAAAATCATGCTGGCTGACGTTGAAGCCTCCAACAACGATCGTCTCCCAGATGCAGTCACTGGTCATTAACACCATTCATCATAAGACTCTCCCATTAGAGCAGGGCGGGGTAGCTGGTGCCCGCATCTGAGCGACAAGGGCTTGGATCATGGTCAGCCATTGCTTGTTTCGAGCATGTGCAACATCGAAGCTCGCAGGTATGAGAAAGACAGGGCGACCGCTGTGGCCATATCTGAGTTAACCCCACCGAACCTACTTGCACCTGATGGCCAGAATCTCACGATGTTGTCAAAACGGGGAACAGTTGTGCTCGGGGCACTCAGTGGCCCAAGTCATACGGGGAACGCGGCTGCTCAGCACTTCGTATCCCATAGGCTGTAGCTCTCCGATTCTGCACCTCACGACCAACTTGGGTGTCTCGCATCTTGCTGGCGAGCGACGGTCGCGCTTGGGGACATGACCCCTCCGTATTGGCATCTGCAAGCCTGCAGGCTGCCGATGCAAGTCAAATTGTCCAGCTCCTCTGTCGGGCCCGTTTGAATGGGTTGCTCTGCCGCATGCAGCACCGCCTGCAGCATCCTCAGCAGACAAAGACTTTCTAGGCCTTCCAGATCACACGCCCTGTCGACCTGGCCCAGGCATCACGTTCCCAGCATCCATTGAACTCCCGTCCACTGAGCCGACGGTCCTCGTTGTTCTTGAACCCCTGCCAAACTCTGGTCCGTTGCTTGGAAGATCGCCGCTAGGAGAGAGGCGGAAGCACTCTGCCCCGACCTGGACCGAGCCCTGCCATGGGAATACCCATCTGAGCTCTGAGGGTTCGGTGAAATCTCCACCGATAAGCACCAGGCCTTGATTGCTCTAGAACCAGGATTGCTCCCTTGCCCGTTTCAGCTCGAAGCGAAGAAACGAAAAGTGAGTGACTCCTGAAATTCTGGATCCTAGCCTAGGACTCTGAGCCTCAAGTACCGGCCTATCAACCGTCGATGGACGCGGTTACAGCGCTTCCGCTGCCACTTAATCCTGCATGAGTAACCATTTGAACCATAGACAGATATCAATCCATTACCATACGATCAGTCGGCCAGCACCGTCCGCAGTGCGACTCTTCTCCATTTGCGAGGGCTTCAAACCCCTCAGGCAAGGACCAACAAGAGAGAGCCATGCTTTCAAAGAATGGACCTCTCACCGACTCGATTTCGAGTGGATTCCTCGCTGAAATTTTGACAATGGCGCCTTCAACCCTGTCTTTTCTCCGACACGATTTCGATCCCCCCCCCTTCCCACGGTGGCTGGCATCCAATAAGCGCAGCACTAGGAAGAATGACTCCGAGATAACGATAAATTGCACTAGGTAAGCCGCAAAGTCACCGTGCAGCGGTCCGAAGCCGCGCCGAACCCGGACCTACGCCGAATCAAAAGCTCCAAGATACGGACGCGAGTTTCGGTCTTTGTTAACGGCGCAGCCACCTCGCAATCGCACCTCGCCCGGCAATTTCCTGTGAATCTGCGATTCAGTTTTTCCTTCTAACTCATCATTTGGTTTAGACTTCCTTGGTGACGCCTGGGCACATGCTTACCGACATTCGTGTCGGTGTTGTGTCACCAGCGACCGTCGAGGTCGGACTCGAAGAGCTGCAGCCACCACCAGCCGCCACATTGAAGCTTTCTTGATTTCGTCACTTTGCCGCACAAAGAGCTCCAGGTAGATAGTTGCTGGTCACATACGCGGTGTCCACCCCTTCATCGTCTCATTCGCAGTCCGGAAAGCTTTGGATTCCACGTCGATTTACGCATTTGTTCGACATCTCAACACTTCCCAGTCAGATTGTCCGGTGAAGCTGCACCTGAGGGCGGAAAACTAGCAGAAACGAGAGCGAAAGCCATTACCCACCAAGACTCCGCCTACGAGTACAAAGGGTGGTTGTCCTGCCAAGTTAAGACACAACACAGAGGGGCCGCATCTTGCGAGGGACCAATATACAAGGTCAAGATCCAAAGAATTCACAGAGCCACGATGCGCGACCTCTGCGTCTACTCTTATCCCTCATAAGGGCCAAATAGCGTCCCAACGGCTCAGCTCGCCGACTGCCGCAGATGGTATCCACAGTTACGGGCCCCACCCAATCGACTGGGCTTGTGCAAAGATAGCATCAGGCATGCTCCTGGACCTGATGTCAGATCACCCTAGGGCCCCACTGATATCAACATGACATCGCTTTCGTACGTCTCTTGGTCCCTGGCTTCGTCTCGTCTGGGCCGTTCTGTCTCGCCCCAGCGCACATCATGGCCTGAGCATCGTTCACTGCTCATATCCGCCAACAGAATCGAATGAGGACCGTCGGAACTGAGCGGGTCGTCTGGACATGTTCAACCGCAGCGGTTATGCGTTCTCCCGTCAGGGTAAACTGCCGCACATCGCAGAAGATGTGTACGAGAGGCTCGCTGAGTTGCTAGCGAAGGTAAAAATACCAAACAGACCCATCGTTTCAACAATGTTGAGCTTGCAAGATCCATCTCGGGCGCCAAGCCAGGTTGAGTCACGAAGCTTGGCCCCATCTCGAAATCTCGCCAACTACCGCCGCCTGCGCATCTCCACCCTACGAAATCTCTCACCTTCGGCCCTTTGCAGCGGTGAAAAAAGAAGGGGCTACGCCGCACCTCTAATGCATTGCTGGGCTTCCTGTGATGTAAACCTTGATACCGCACCCTTAGTGTATACGGTAGACCAGTTTCGACCTCTAGGACCTTTTCTTTCAACCACGATTGTGGGACCCGTCCTCAGCCTTGCTTCCTGGCTCCCGACTTCCCTAGGCACGCTAAGGTAAGTTCCTTGATATGCAGGTGCACACAAACCGCTCAGTGTGGGCCGTCTACCCGTTATCTGCGCCAACGCCTTGTCACCGAAGAGGGGCGTGAAGGTTCGAAGCTTCAACAATCGAAGCTTGCAAGTTGCGGCGACCAGAGGGAAATTTTGCCAACATTGCTCTGCATCCATACACGTGGATCTCCCGATACGCCTGCATGCATCTCAGACACACGTTGCGGCGATACTACTGCAGAGAAAAACACCTCGCGGCTGCACCGCCCAAAAAGCCTCATCAAAGTCTCGTTGGGCGACGAGTAGGAGCCTCAGCATCTACCCTGCTTTTATGGCGCCGCGTGTCGAGGCCGCGATTAATCAACAACAACATGTGAAAAGGCCCCGCGGGATTCTCGATGGACAGGCATACAGGACGAGGTGTTTTTGTCGTGTTACGGATACGGATACCACGACACCCTTTCTAATAACACGTCTTAGACTCCCAGGAACCTATCGCATATCAAATCAATGGTGGAGACTTTGGGAATTTCCCTTCCCTGCTTTTTTTTTACACTGCAGCCATAAGATGGTCAATCTCATCTATCCATGCCTTTATTGAAGAAGGACCCATTTCGATTCGCCCTTGGACTTATGGACGCCGTTCCAGAAGCATGTGCTATCTACCTTTCCCGGGTCAGGAACGGGACGGACGACGTAGCCGACGCATCCTGCATCTGCAAGCCTGCGCGCGCAACCGTTCGACTTTTCGTCCCGGCTTCTTTTCGTCGAGCGTGAATCAGAAACTTGCAATACTCTTTTTTTTGGCCCGGGTTTCCTCTCCCGCTCTCCCGCTCTCCCGCGTCTCTCCCTTTCCACTGGGCCCTGGTCTTACAATAGTTGGTGGCTGAGCAAACCTTGGGTTGCGTTTGTTCCCGTTATCCACTAATACATGTACACTCAACCCGTTTTGTTCTCATTCCATCAATGTGGCTAGGCGTGGCACGCCGTGCGGCGACCAACAGATCGGCAACAAACGGACGTCGTAGATACACATAAGTCAATCGTGGCTGGTAAGAGGGTCCCCCCAATGGAATACCTACACTAGGGCCAAGGGTCTATCGACGCTCGCGACAGAGCCCAGAGTCCACCACGGAGCCGCATCTTTGATTTCGCTGCTAATGCAGATTCGTGTCTCAAGAGGGGTCTCCTCGTGGTGGAAGCTCCTGGCTGGACACATTTGGGTTCCTCGAATCACATGCAGATCACACACGTCATAATTATCTCAAAACCCTCGTGATAGACGCGCACATCACCATAATTATGCGCGAAAAGGCAAAAAAGAAGACCTTTTGAAACGTTTTCATGGATTTGTGCAAATGTTATATGGTTCGATTGAAATCGAGCGGGAACTACTTTTGGGAAATATGGACAAAGCCCTCGCGCAGAGAGTGATACATTGGCTGATTTCTATACCTCGGCTCCCAATATTTGCAAAGAAACAACAGACAAACATAGCCAACTCATGATCATCCACCAAACGCCGTATATGATTAAGATGGCTGAGAAGCACCCTCCATGGGCACGGGGGCGTCCGTCGGTCTGTTCCACGTTCGGATATGGCCTTTGCATGTTAGCCTCCTGTGACGTTAAAGCTTCACCCATGTCCGGCGCAGGGTACGCAGGGTACACAACTTACCATTCTTGCAACTTGTGATGATGGCTTCCTCTGTGAATTCCAGCCAGCACAGGGGGTGGGTATCAACTGCTTTGGACTAATTGCCGACATTGTGAGCAAAAACGAGGTTCGGCCAAGGAGGGAAGGGCGAAGCGCCTGCTGCGGCGGCCACTTACAGAAACAGGGGGCAGCATGGCAATCCTCGCGCGAGGCTCGACGGGATGAACGGTGCTGCCGCCGTCTTCGTCCACCGCGCCTCCAGACAGGGTAGAGTCGGACCGGATGCGGCTCGCTGAAGTGTTTGCCGTCTCTTGTCTCTGCAGCGGATTGGCAAACCGTGATGACACGGAGCCCCTGTGATGAACGGAAGCCTATATTACGACTTTGTTAGCGTTTGTCTATGGCGTCCCCTCCCGCTCCGGCGATTCTGGTGGTCAAACGTACCGCCTTGGGCCGGTGCAGCATGCCGACGTTGAAATCCCACAAGCACAACCTGCAGTCTTCGCCGACGCTGCCGAATCGGTAGTTCCTATCGTCGCAACGCCACGGGTCAAATGCTACCGATGTCACCCATGACTGGTGGCCTTGGCAACGCGCGACAATGGCCGAGTCTACGACGGACCATATGGATATGAGGTCATCTTGGCCTCCCGTCAGCACGTATTTGCCGTCCGGAGACCAAGTAATGCAGATGAAGCCGCCATAGTACGAGTTGTACAGATCCAACAGCCTATATTATGTCAGTCAAATGACCCCAAGGCCCCAACAAAACAAACATACTCTTCCTTCAAGTAGTCAATGATGCGGAGCGAGCCGTCCTCCGACACCACCGCCAGGTGCCTGTTGTCTGGGCTAAAGGCGAAGGCGTTGATACGCTGATTCGACAGCTTCCAAGATGCCACGGGGTTCGTCTTTTGGTTCTTTGAGTGGACCGACTTGCTGATCTGAATCTTGAGGTTGTGGTTGACGCCGTTGGTAGACTCGCTCTCTCCATTTGTTGACGACCCATTTGTCGTCAGCTCCTCCTCGGGGGAGAATTGCGCGTCTTCTTTGTCCTTGTCGTACACCACCAGCGAACCGTCCATGTGCGCCGCCAGGAAGAGGGACTCGGAGCCCGGTATCCACCGGATCTCTGACACGGGCGTGCCGTTGATGATGCCCTGGATATTGTCAGCCCACCACCTGGGTTTCTATGTTCAAGCAGTGTCGTTTTGAAACTTACATTCTTGTTCAATCGAGTATACCGTTGCGACACAGGTTCCCACCAGATGATTTCTCCCGTCGAGAAGCCCATGATTACATCAATATGTGCAATGTTCTTGGTGATGGGATTGACGTCGTGACATAGGCAGTGAGCTTTGGTAAACAAAATCTTGGTAAGATAATCGGCCTTGAACAAGTCAGTTTTTAGTCCGCAAGCAAGTTGGCATGTCAGAGAGCCTGACCTTTGTCGGTGATGATAGATCCAGCCACTGGAACGCTCGGTTGATGTTGGCAAAAGCAAAGACGCCGTCCGTCGGCCGCTCTTGAAGCTTCTTGGCCAAGCTCTCGTTGACAATGACCCTAGAAATGAAGGACGAGTTGCTCTTGGTCATGTTGTTCTTGGGCTTGGCCACCTTCTTCTTGGCCGCGTCCTTTGTGTTGGCCGGCGCCAGCGCGGTATTGCCGTCCCCGAAAGCCGGCGCAGAGACCATGGTCAACGACGAGGTCGGAGGCGCGCCGTCGCTGAGGGAGGCGCTGCCGCCCCGGCCGTCTCCGCCATCGCTGCTGAGCCCGGCCTCGGTGGAGTAGCGGCTCTCGTTGGGGTGCTCCTGGATGTCGCCGCCGAGCGACGAGAGCGTGGTGGCGGAGGTGGCGCCCTTGTAGAAGAAGGGGGGCGCGGCGCGGACGTCGAGGGATATGAGGGAGAGTTTCGTGCCGGCGGAAGCGGGCTGGGGGATCGTGGCGAGCGGGTTCGGGTTGACGACGGGGGCCTCGGAGGGGTGCGGGGGCGGCGTGGCGAGGTGGAGGTCTTCCTTGAGGACGTAGGTGCCCTCGCCGACGAGGAACTGGTACTCTGGGCCTTCGGGGTTGGAGAGTATGTTATTGGTCTCGATCATGGGGGCGATGCCGGCTCCGATTGCGCCGTAGGCGCCCGAGTGCGAGGGGTATCGCGGGGGAGGGGGGAGGACGCTGTGGTTGTCGCGCAGGCGGCGATTGTCAGCCGCTGCTCTGTCGTGCTGGATGGGAATGTCATGGGGGAGGGTTTATGGGGTTGGGTGCCTTATTGAGGCCGGGAATGGTTGTCTGGCGCCTGCGTGATGTTTGACCTCGCGCAAGTTGGATAGATGGGGTGGATGGCGCTGGCTGGATTTGCCCGCAGGCAAGGACCAAGATTCGGGCAAACTCACAACATGATGGGCTAGTATTATGTACGATCCAGATCTACTACGTATTTCAATGGCTACGTGGGCAAGGTTGATCAGTAGCTGTCAGGGAGCAGGCACGTGAGGTGAACCGCGATGTCGGGACGTGAGGTGGTTGTCGTCGGGCGCTCGGGACGGTAGTCTCGCTCTGTCGGCTCCGCCTCACGTCACTGGTGGTCCCGCAGGTGGAGGTTCTGGGCCTTGATGATGAGAGGAACCGGGCGACCGGCGACGAGCGACGGCAGAGGCTACCAAAGTCGACGTTTTGGGAAAGTCGCACGACCCCGTGAGAGATCGAGAGAGGTGGTCGGCTTTTGGGTGAGGTTCGACTATCGGACGGTGTGAGTCGGTCAGGCGCGACGGGTAGGTGTGGAAGGAGTAGAGAATGCGTCGCCACCAATAACCAGATGAACCTAAGGGGAGTTCATGTGCGCGCGGAGAGGGACGTGGTGGTGGTGGTGGTGGTGGTGGTGTAGCACCTTATTAGTAGAGTGAGAGAAAGAGAGAGGTTGAAGGTGTAGGTAGGCAGATGTCGTTGGCCAGGTTCGGTCCCGGTCCGGGGTTGGTTCGTCCCAGGCCACAGCAGTGCGCGCCAACCACAACGAACCACAATCAGTCAAGGGCCCAAGGCTGCGTCTCTCGTTTCCAATTCGTGTCCCCCACCCTTTCTCATACCTCACCTTACCCCGGGCGTACTCAATGTCTCCATTTTCCCAACACAGGCAGGCGGCAGGCCTCTTTCTTCATGGGCAGGTCAGCAGCAGGGGAGAGCGGCGCTGCAGGTTGGGGGGTATTGGGGCATGGCTTATCCCAGGCGAAGAGGGCCGGGTCTTGCGCGGAGAAGGATTGCCGCGACGTGAGTGGTGGGATGGGGAAACAGGAGGGGAGGGGGAGAGAGGGGGAGAGTGGAGGATCCCCGACGAACAGACTGTGGGGAGGGCGGTGGGAGCCCGGGAAAGGTACTACCCAAACCTAGCAGCATCATCGTCAGCGGACCGGCGCCAGGCGAGCGTTCGTCGTTCCAGTCTGTCAGGTTTGTTAATCTGGGGATTGATAACGAGAGCGACACGTTGATCGCTGAGGAACCTGAGCCTGAAAGTGCGGGGTAAGAAGATGAAGAAGGAGGCCAGGGGCGTTGTAGGTACACTGAGAGAGAGTTCAAGAGGCGGCGTATGTGGTACCTTATGTCCAGAACGGTTCGTAGGCCGCTTGTTTTAACGTAAGGATCAGAGAGATTGAGGTGTCGTCACGTCGTCTAGCAAGAGTGAGTTGTCCTGGTTCAACAAAGAACAGTAGGCAAATATCCTAGGAAGAAAACATGCCAGTCGATCGTCTAGGTTCCTAACCTTGCGTAATGGCATCTCTTGGTTGAAGTCACGGAGGCATTTATCCGAGACTGACTGCTTTGAAGCGTCGCCTTTTTCAAACCGAAGGTAGACAGACGTAGCAGACAACGGCGCAGCTCTATAAGTATCACCAGCTGTAAGGAAGATATTTCAGTCTACAGTCGCCACAACTCGAAAAGAGAGGCATGATGATTCTACAAGTCGTGCACGGGGCTAACACTTGACCTGGAATTGCCCATTAGATCTAGTCGTTTCTCCTTTTTCAATTCGGACGGGAAATTGATTTGCGAGAACGAACCCATTAATACCTACCTATGGATAGATACTTCATCTCATTCCACCGAGACTTACGTAATCCATCAAAGAACTTCACACTGCGTCCGTCTTGCATCGCGCGCTGTCCGCCGAGCTATCAGTGCCTTCCCACCCCCACCGGAGTCATCCTTGCAGACCAGGTCGTCATCCCCGTCGACCTGCAGCTCCCGTCCTACCCGCTCCAAAGCTCCTACAAGCCCGTTGGGCCAGTTCCACCACGAAAAGCAGACTTCCTCAGCCAGCAATTCCTACATCAAGCGGCGATCCGTCTCATCAAATCGATCTTCCTGCAGCAATCGTTCAGCATAAAGCCTGCCATGGATTCGTAATAGAACCATTTGTCGAAGCTACAAATACCGTGACCATACCATGGCTTCTGGTAGGTGGCCTGACCAAGAGCCGAGCGCCATCCCGCCGCCATTCGCGTTGTTGAGCTTCCGACTGACCACAAATGCTCCAACATAGTGCGCGTCTGCGTTTGCGGTGATGAGAGCACCGGCAAGTCCAGCCTCATTGCTTCGCTAGTCAAGGATGTTTTCATCTCCAACAAGATCCAATCGGTCCTCCCCTCCATCACGATTCCTCCCCAGCTGGGCACCCCCGAGAACGTGACAACCACCATTGTCGACACCTCTGCCCGCCCTCAAGACCGGACCACTCTGAGGAAGGAGATAAGAAAGTGCAACGTCATACTCCTTGTCTACTCGGATCACTACAGCTATGAGCGCGTCGCCCTCTTTTGGATGCCCTACTTCCGCTCCCTCGGCGTCAATGTTCCAGTCGTTCTCTGCGCGAACAAGTCCGACCTGACGGGCGAGGGAAACACGCCCCAGGTGGTCGAAGGCGAGATGCTACCCGTCATGTCTGAGTTCCGCGAGATCGATTCCTGCATCCGCTCGAGCGCGAGGGAGCACCGAAACGTCAACGAAGTTTTCTTCCTATGCCAAAAGGCCGTCACACACCCCATTGCCCCGCTGTTTGATTACAAGGAGGGCAACCTGAAGCCGGCTTGTGTTGACGCCCTCAAACGCATTTTCTACCTGTGCGACAAGGACCAGGACGGTTGGCTCAATGATCAGGAGATGCACAATTTCCAGGCCAAGTGCTTTGACAAGCCCCTCACTCCCGAAGATCTCGAGAATATCAAGCTGTCGATTGGCAAGTCAGTCCCGCACTTATCGACCGAGAGGGGTATCGACCAGAGAGGGTTTTTGCAGCTAAACAAACTCTACGCCGAAAAGGGTCGGCACGAGACGATATGGATCATACTGCGCAAGTTCCGCTATACAGACAGCTTGAGTTTGGAGGATAGCTTCTTGCGCCCCAAGTTTGATGTGCCCGAGTATTCGTCGGCAGAGCTGAGCCCCGCAGGTTATCGCTTCTTCGTAGATCTGTTCTTGCTGTTTGACAAGGATAACGATGGCGGTCTCAATGACAAAGAGCTAGAGGCTCTTTTCGCGCCGACGCCAGGACTTCCTGCCTCCTGGATTGAGACATCCTTCCCATCGTCAACCGTACGTAACGAAGCGGGACACGTAACCTTGCAAGGATGGCTCGCACAGTGGAGTATGACTACCTTCATGGAGCCCAAGATTACGCTCGAGTATTTGGCGTACCTTGGCTTCGAGCCTGCAAATGCCAAGGAAACTACAACAGCCGCTCTGAAGGTGACCAAGTCGCGCAAGCGGAGGAGACGCCCGGGCAAGGTGGAGCGCAATGTCGTACTGTGTTACGTCTTGGGTGCTTCCGGAGCTGGCAAGTCTTCACTACTGGATGCCTTCTTGAACCGGCCCTTTGACACTCTCCACCGACCAACGATCAAGCCGCGCCGAGCTGTCAACAGCGTCGAGCTTCCTGGTGGCAAGCAGTGCTACATGATCCTGGAAGAGTTGGGTGAGCTCGAGCCCGCCATCTTGGAGAACCAGGCCAAGCTGGACGCCTGCGATCTCATCTGCTATACGTATGATTCCTCGGATCCCGACTCCTTCTCTCATATTGTCGACCTTCGCAAGCGCTACCCGCAACTGGACGACCTTCCCAACATCTACACAGCACTGAAGGCGGACAAGGATAAGACGACGCAGCGCAGCGAGACGCAACCAGATATGTATACGTCGGGCCTTATGATGAGCACGCCTCTTCACGTCACGGTGAAGTGGACCAGCATCAGCGAGCTATTCATTGCCCTTGCCGAGGCGGCGACGAATCCAAGCACTGCCTTTCCTCGGAGCGAGGAACCGCCACCAGACCGTACGAGTCTTTATCTTGCCTTGGGCGCAACGGCCTGCGCTGGAGTTGCGGCGTTCATGATCTGGCGGCGATCGACGACGTCCGCTTAGAAGGGGGCCATAGTCTAGGCGCTTTGATTTCACGCTTGCATCTGCTCGGAGTTGGCGCGATTTCGGAGTCTCGTCATCCACTCGGTGAAATACAATTATGATACCCAACTCCGCCCTACACATATACTAGGAGCTTAGTCTCTAATCAATGTAATATAACCATATTCTGTCGGGTTGATCATCTCATGCCCCCTATTCCATAACCTTTGTTTCCTATCGCACCAAGTCTATTTGATGAAGAAGCTCCACTGATTGAAGGGATGATTTCACGTTCTCTCAAGATTATCGCCCTTTGTCACTTAATTCAGCCTGCCCATTCCTGCTGGAGTTCTCTTTCACCCATGCTGGGTACTAGCGATATGTCAAATACCAGGCCGATGTTTCGCCCGACGAACGTCCGGCTCGACACCTGCCATTTGTTCATTCCGCTCTACTCTCCTTTTGCTCTAAGTTTCTAAGTTCGATATTATCAGCTGCAAAGGGTCTGAAGAGAACGCTCAAGCTGTTTATAGACTTAGGATTAAAACACCCACTCCGTCAGGAATCAGATACATGGCACACGAGATCGTCATCAAACACCTGGCAGAACACTTGGGCTCAGGTGATGAGCGGCTGGGCCCTTTTCTTGTTCCACCAGAGGACAAAGGCAGAGAGCCTCTTTGTTGTACGTCGTCTGACCCTGAGCACCACAGTGAAAGGAAAGGCAGAGCATTCAGAGACGAATTTACAAATACCTCTGCACGAATAGGGCACAATGAACGATGAAGCTGACGAAGCGGGTTGAACAAGAGTACTACAGAGAGCCCTCTCAAGCAATCAGTTCATCCTATCAGATACTTTTTAACTTACCATGAGGGTTATAAACACGGCAAGTCTCCCTAGCTTTTATGTGATTTGAAGCGAAAAAGCACCTAAGTGCTGGGGGCCATATTTTTTATCCTCATGAAATCGGAATACTGTCTCGCGGTACAAACACGTTAATGTTACAAGAGTTTCCCGAGATGTTAGTTTCGAGCTTTCTCTCCTTGCCTCGGCACCTAGGGGAAAAAACAGAAATATAACCCACCTAGTACGAAATGTTCCTTGAAGCCCAACAGCTTGTCTCTACTTGTGACATATCTTAAAAACGTTTCACGCGTTTCCTTCTTCCATGGCCTCAAAAGCTCTCAATCTCTCTCTCTCTCTCTCTGGTGAGTTAAGCCTGCTCGCTGGCTTTCCCGGCTCCGCGCGCCTGCGACTCTGCGGACATGGTTGGTCTGTAATGCTTCTATTTGTGACTGGCTAACAAAACTTTATAAGCAGTGTATAATGAATACCCGTGAGATATCTTAGTTCCCTTCTCTCATACATAGATCTCCTAGAACCCGTGCAGTCGAAGCAGCGAGTGCCTTACTTCTTTTTAAATACTCTCTAATATTTTCAGCTAAGGAAGATGCAACGTCCGTTTCTTGAAACAAAAATCCAACGTCATTTGGCAGCATCTCACATCGCTATACTACTCTGTATCATATACTTCATTGCTGGTAGAGATAAACTGTTCTGTTAGGTTTCTATACAGGTCGGGAGTGTTCAGGCCTCATTCCTGAAGGTTTGAAAACTCGACTTCTCAAAGTCGCCCTCCTTTGGAGAGAATCCGTTCCAGCGTGGCCAGTTCGATCAGACTAAAACACGGCCGTCATCCTCACCAGTGACTACTACCACGGTGGCCCACTCATAAAGCAGCTGAGTGGCTCATTAATCGCTCACATACGTCACTGGGACCAGTTGATGATATTCGCACCACGGTCAGATATCTGCAGTTTGGATCAGATTTGGCGTTGCCATTCTCGCAGTATCGAAGATAGTATGATGAGCAAAGCTTTTATAGTTCAAATAAGCAGTTCTTTGTACGTTGTCAAGTGACGTGTAGCTGCACTCGGATTTCTACAATTCTGCTTGAGATAATCAAGATCAAGCTGTTCATTTTACAACGAGGCATCCAGCTCCAACTTGTTTTTTTGCGTCAAGAGATATGGCAGACGTGCGTCTCCCTACCGCACCCTGCGTCATGCGCAACAATGAGTTGTCGTTAGTTATGGGCATTAAGAGGGGGCATTACCACTGCTGTACTTTCGTATCTATCAGAATGATCTTTATCCTCGGGGTCCCGTTCTAAATTGTAAACACTCACAGACTGTGCAACCCGGTGACATATTGAGCAGGAAGACTGGGCCACATCCGCCTCAGATTATACTACTTTTGATTTGCCTGACTAATGCTTTCTTGATCCCGGAAAGTCATCTCTGCGATCGCTTCATTATTGATTCTTCAAGCTTATGAGAAGAAGCGCCTGAAGAATATATTGGCGGTCTCTAATCTGATACCTTTGCTTTTGCCTTCTCGCTCGGCGCCCTGCTCATATGAACGAGGCTTAGGCATCCATGATCTCACCAAGCTTATAAGGGGGGAAACGATTCAAGGTGTTGTGCCCAACTATAGGGGCCGTCATGTGCGCGACTGGCGCAAGAGATTTGCTTTGTCTGCTGGGTACCAGTTTTCTGAGACATCGCCGAGGTGTGCAAAAGGGAGCCCCAGCTCTACGGTTCTTTCACCCGGGGAACTGTTTCTCCTTCCGCTGTTTTCCCTCGATATAGATTCATCTATGACATGTTACAGTCTTCTGTGTACTCGTAGTCGTTTACAGCCTTCATCGGCAAAAGTTTGAGTATATCTCGTCCAGTGTGTGATTTGTATCACCAAATGCAAGCCCAGTTTTGAGCAGGCTACAACCTTTCGCATTTGTAGGCTGTCTACATGCCACGGTAGTTCATTGTTCATTTTCATCTTCTCCTACATCGCCGCATGACCCTTGCAAGTAAGCAGTATGTTTTCCCAATTCTTCAAGTTGCCTCTCAATTTGTTTATCGGATCTTGGGTTTTAGCCATAGTTACTTACGTCTCATCCAGTTCGGTCTGTGGAGTCGAAGGTCTTTCAACAAGCCTAGGATCGGAATGAGACGGGGCAATAGGGTGTGGCAACCTACAGCCCTTCATCGAAACTTATCTTGAGAGTGGCAATCATAAATAGCGCCACCCGCCTTAAGGTATAAGAGGAGGGAATGGAAGGATCAAGTATTATAGCAGAGCAGCACGAGCCGGCAAAGAAAATGCGGCGCTTCCGCGTTGGAGCCGGACGTGTTCGATCCTTGGCTTCAACGATGTGCCTAGGACCTTTCTTTATGATTGCAAATCACGCTTCTGTGATTTCGTGTTGGAAATGGGAGTCGTTGAGGCACCACTACTTGTTCAACCAGAGTCTCGGTAACAAATGCGTCCATCCACACCTTCAAACTCGACTTGGCTGATGTTCCTACGCTGGCTGTAGCCCCGGATCCCTTCGAAGCTTCTCCCACCTAGAAGACCGCCAGCTCTCTAAATCCCTCATCATAGTTACCTCAATATTCGCTCCGCGTAAATGAATACCCGAAGACTTTTATAAGACGAGAGGGAAGGTGAGACATGTATTCCGATCACACGAGCGAATGCCCAGCCCTTCCTCCTCTCGTATCCACAGTCCCGAGTACCACCCATCATTCGGCCACAATCTAGGTGGACTAATGTGCCGTCGACTGCCTCTTGCATTCAACAAGACGAGATAGAAGAATGTAGGCCTAACGAACGAGCCTCGTCGACAGCTAGAACCGTCCTTATATACTAGAACCACTGGCCCGGTCACCAGCCTCATCTAGCCTCACAACATCCTCAAGACCGATAGATATAAAGAATACAATATTCATCAGTGGTATTCATTCCAAACTGTTTCCGGCCGTATACTCAAGAACTAATAAGTCGTTACCATACACGAAGAAGAAGTAGTAAAGCAACGAAAAAGACAAGGCAGCTCCCGAACAAGCTGACAGGGAATCCCATAAACAAACAGCCTCATGTAACACTGCATGACCGACACTCGCACCAGAGAGAACCCAAGCCAGAACCCGAAAACCCAGAGACACCCGTATTGTTGCGCGAGAAAGAAATACAAGAAAATCATCCCAATGTCTCAGACCCAGACTCACATCGTACACTTTTGACTTGTTATACAGCCTTGTCAAAACCCCTCCTCTGTCCCATAAGCCCGGCATATAAATACTTTTCCCACCCTTCGTCCCACCTACATCAGTCATATCCTCTTAGACGGACTCACTCAGCCGTCGCCAATCAGTTCATCAGACGGCCCCCGTTGACCGGAATCACTGTCCCCGTAATCCACCTTGACTCATCGCTCGCAACAAACGCAACAACGTCGGCAATGTCCTCGACGGCCCCTAGCCTCGCTTCAGCAGGCGTAAGCGAAGCCCTCTCCAAGTCGGCGCTGCGCTGATCGTCGGGCAGCGAGTCAAACATCTCCGTCTTGACTGTCCCGGGGCTGATACAATTGACAGTCACGCCGTGCGCCTGCCCCATCTCTCGCGCCGCGACGCGCGTGAACGCCTCGACGGCCGCCTTGCTCCCCGCGTAGGCCATGCTGCCCGGCGAATCGGCGCGCGCCGCGACGGACGAGATGTTGATGATGCGACCGCCCGGCGCGATGTGCGGCTTGACGGCCTGCATCATGAAGAACACAGCGCGCGTGTTGGTGTCAAAGATGCGGTCGTAATCCTCGGTGGTGGTATCGTCGAGCGTTGCGCTGAGCGTCGCGGCGGCGTTATTGACGAGGATGTCGATCTTGGTTACGCCAAACGCCATCATGGTCCGCTCGATGACCTTCTTCTGATGCTTGGAGACGTCGGCCTGGATGGCGGTCGCCGAGGACCCGCAGGCCTCGATCTCGGATATGACCTCATGGGCCTTGGCTATTGATGAAGTGTTTACAAAAGTGAAGGCGACCTTCAGTCACGCGAATCATGGAAATCTAGCTTTAGCCGAGGTTCTCCTTTCAAGAGGATTAAAGTCGGTAGAGACGCACCCTGGCCCCTTCTCGTGCGAGCTTCAGCGCGATGGCGGCCCCGATGCCTCGCGCGCCGCCGGTGACGATGGCGACTTTGCCTGACAAGGACATATTGGGCGGCGGGAGCTGTGGCAGCGGTTTCGTCCACAGGGCAGATGATGCGCGCCGCGCGACACTTTCGCTGGTTTCTCCGTCGCTGATCTGAGGCGACTGGCTTTGCTGATGCTGCTGCTGCTGGCTCAGCGCATTGGTCAGATGAGACTGTGATAAAGGCACACTGTCAGCGTCGATGTCTGTTGGCATCCGCGGCCGGAATGCCGGTGTAGTGCAGCAGAATACCGGCAGAGTCTGGCTCTGGAGCCAGTGCGTAACGGCTCGGAAAGCCATTTGACTGGGATCCGTAGTCATGGCATTCTCTTCAGTAGGTGCGACGTCCATGCAGATATGCTGCATCGGTTTGAGATGTGTGAGGCGATGACGAAGGCTGTCGAAGGCTGACACACACACACACCTTACAGTTGAACGTCAGCCTGATCATGCATACCAAGGTCTCCCGTGCGTTGGAGATGGTGTGGCGGCGCGGGGAAACTCGACGTGTCGATCGTGCTGGATGACCAATGTAAGACAAAGCTCGAGAAAGTCTAGTCCACACTTTCTGCTGCAAATCTACCCATTCCGCCACAATTCCAATAGCTCGTGCAAGCTCTTTGGCTCTTGGGCTCTGTATGTCGACCAACCTGCAAGGAAGAACGCGGACCCTGGCTGTTGCAACCGTAAGGGTGAGGATTCGGACAACGAGCCACACACAAACTGGTATTTTGGACATGAGAATCGTGATCCATTGGTGTTACTTCGGGGGTCCAGACGTCTATGTGACAGACGACCAACGGCAAATCGCTGCAGCCCGCAGCGCGCCTGAACGAATCCACAGGTATGGGAGTGGGAGAGCTTCATTGTCGATCGCTTGACCATCAGCATTTGCCATCGAGAGCGACACTTAAGAGAATCAGACTGAGGCTGCGCAATCGTTGTGAGTCACACTGCTGGTTCAAGTATTTACCGTAAAGCGCCCAGCGCACAGATGCGACCTTGAAGTCAGGGAGAGAATCACCAGAGGAAGCCGAGAGGTAGCCGTAGGTACAGATAGTTGAGGGTTGCTTGCACCTCAGCAGCGCTATCTCTCGGTGCACACAGTTTCCACTGTCCAGCGACCACCCGATAACCGGCTGCTGGGTCTTCATCACTAGATGGCGACACCCTTGCTAGAAAGCGGCAGATGGGATGACATGCTACGCTGCGATCGCAGTCGGGCGGCCTCTGATTGGTCGTCCCCGTCCGACGGTTTTTTTTTTTTTTTTTCGATCCGGCTGGGGCGCTTCGCCGTGAACCGTAGCTCGTTCTGAGGGTGTTGGACCGTAGACAGGGGCGAAGGTTCTCGACGTCTTGGAGGATGGCAACTTGGCAGCTAGTCAAGTCGCAAACGGCAAAATGAAAGAAAGACGTTGGGCCGCGGGTGTTGGAAACGAGATTGCCGATTCAGGTCACTTTGGCGTATTAGTGGAGCCAAGAAGCCGGTTGGGCCTCGAAATAAAAAATTCCTAGGCACAAAGGGGGCTCAAGGGGCGAGAGTGGCCGATGAGACGGAGACGCTGGCCGGCACCGCCGGTGGTGAATAGGGGCCCGAGGCGGTGACGATGGGGTCCGGTCCACTGGCCCTGCATCTGACCAGCCCTCGGTCTCCAGAATCTCTCCAGTGTCCAGACCTTCGAGAAGGATATGGAACACTGGGGGCCAAGGCCAGTTCGCTGTGTTCGCGGTGTAAAGTTGTAAAACCACAGCCATGGTGCCTGAGTGCATGGGTTGCAGTCCACGCAATGCTAAGGGAGCCCTCAAAGTCGGGAGTCTTCGGTCGCACAGACTCGGGCACCGTGGAGAAGGTAAAGTCACGCTTCGGACAAAAAGCACATTGGCGACAGACGGGAGTTAGGAGGCACCCGAACCTTGTCCAGAGATCCGATATTCCCTGGCATACGGAAAGGAGTGAGCGATTCTGGGGACTTTGTCTTTGGCCAGGTTGGGGGCCTGGGATCGCCCTGTAATCCTGGGCAAATGGGTCATGCTAGTGTCGATTCTCGGCAGCAGCCAGCAGCGAAGACGGATGCTGTTTTGACGTCGGCTGGGTAGGTGGTACATTGAGGGAGCGAGCATTGTCAGAAAGGCGCAGTGCCTTTATAGAGCCAACCGTTGTCCTCGCGCAGCTGTGTACCATCATACAGAGGACTCCAAGGAAGTTGAAGGGATAGTAGTATCCCGCACAGGCTCGGATGGAAGGACAATGTTAGGCCTAGGTGCACATCACGAGCCTCCCTTGTGCTGCTTGGGTTGTCCCTGCCATGCCCGCATCCGGTTGAGTGGCAGTGACGGGCAGGAGAAACGCGCTTTAAGCATGACAGATTCAGCTCGAGTTAGAGGCGAGAAGCAAGAGGCGCCTCGAACCCGTCTTCTGGTTTCCTTGTTTCATTGCGAGCCATCTGAAAGACTGAGATTCTCTTCATCTTTGGCGACTTGAGATGACGGACTGATTTTGTATTCCGTACTTGTAGTGCGGCCATGACCCATCCATGTCTCATCCACTGCCAATATCCGGGCCTCGTGGTCCGCGTGTGCTCTTTGGGGAGCGTTGGCCGGAGCCAGCTGTGTCGGACAGTGGATTCGGGCCGTCATTCAACATCAAATGTCGGGGTCTTGCAGAGTATTCGAACATAGAATGTAGGAGCAGTGAAGAAAGTACTAGTAAGGTGCCGTGCTCGCAGAACAAGTGGCGATGTCATTGATGGTATGTGTGTTTTGATTGGGTACTCTGTATTGTTCCGTTGATATGGATGGTTGAGGTTGCGGACCGCTTGCCGTTATCTTTTTCCTTTCTTTTTTTCTACCTACCCTCTTCCTCCTCCCCGCCCTTTTTTGCGCTCCACCCATGCAGTTGTCCGTCCTGCCGCTGCGCCGCCTGCCGTGCCTGCCTCCAACTTGACGCCAAAACCGCAGCCAGTCAGTTCGCAGTCCACCGCCCAGGGACTCCTTCCCCTCCCCTCAATCTGGTGGAAAGTGAACGGACGATACGTACTTAAGCTCAGGCACGGGTACGGATGCATGCACGACTCAAAATGCATTTCAACTCAGCTGAACGGATGATAGACTACTGTACTATGAGGTAAGAGGATGCCTGTGAGTGCATTAGGTAATCTTTCGACAGTGCGTTGCTTGCTCGCGCGACTCTCAGTCTCCTGATAGAACTGTTCGAGAATAAAGGAATAGAAGTCCTTGTTTCTATGCCAGTCTAGGTACTATCTATTTTCTGGCGGTTGGGCCTTCAATGTACGTAATTAATCAATCACCTCACCCAAGGTACCTAGTAAGATGCGTCAAAGCAGATTCCGCGAGAATGGCAGCCTCAAAAGAGAAGGCAGACCTAATTAGACCGTGTTGGTGGCAGTTGCCCGTTGGCATTGGCTGGGCACGTGACAGGGAGGCGGCCTTTTGTGCCAGCCCACCTTACCTTAGGTACTTTGACTGGCCGCTTTTTCAAAGCAACGCCTAGCCCAGTCTGGCTGGCGCTAATGCAGTCTGGCTGGCGCCCTCCTCTCCAGGCTCCAAATGACACCAGCCGATTGGGGGTCGAGCCAAGTATTCGGTACTTGCCCCCCTCCGGCCTCCACTACGCCAGTCCCAGCATTTCGCACGCTTCCGACGCTCTCAACGGCACACTTTCATGGATCATCTCTGCAAATAGACTTGTACCCGTCTACTTCCATAGTTCCCCAAGTAAGGTATCTGATCTCCTCGCCGTGACCTTGACCTTTGGTGCTGTACTTTGTAAGGTAGGGCCTGTCCGTCGCCCTTCTCTGTCAGTCACCCACGCTCGCGCTCTGTCTTCTGCCCGCTCACCCGCTCCCCTGACCTGCAGTAGGGGGGGGACTTGACTTGACTGGCTGCGTCCCGTCTGCCTGTCTTGTGTCTGCACCAGCACCAATCCCAAGTACCTTCTCCAAAAGTCCAGTTCTCGACACAACTGGACGGCAAGGTGAACCATTAAGTGACACCATTTTGCCTTACCGAGCGCTACAACTGCCACCGCCCCGTCCTCCACCACTGCCACCGCTGCCACCACCACCACCAACAACAACATCTCTCTACCTACCTTACCACTACGACACAACACAACTTAGCACAATACACGCCGGCCAACTGCCCACTTGGACAAGTCTTGAACCGACCCATCCTCGCCTGTTCCTTGCTCTCAACAGCATAATTTGCCGCTTGCTTTTTCTCTCTCTCGTTTGCAACGGGCGACTTCTCCAGTCTTTTCAACTCTTATCGTTGTACATCCCGGGTACCGCTCCAATAAACCATCCTCCCATGCGATCTTGAACGACGCGACCGAGAATTCATACCTGTATCCGTATCCCGATCCCGACTCGCTCCATCTCCCGCCTTCGACACTCCTGTCGTTCCCACGCCGCGCCTATGCTGCCCTACACCTTCGACAGATGAGAGCCCGACAACACACTCTTTCCGAACGAGATACTTGGCAGACGAGTGGTGCATTTTAGGGAACTCCTGGCTATTCAGCCTCCCTGCAGGCCTTTCACTCTCCTAGATGATGGTGCGTAGACTTGATCACAACTCGCCACGGCAGCCATCATCGGCACCCAGCGCTTTCCAAGTCAGTTGGCTCAACCTCGTTGAACATGGCGCGCTTCCTCTCTTGTGTCTCGAGTCTTGGGCCCAAAGTTTACCGGCTGAGCCCCTTTCTTTAGACGTCACTTTTCGCTAACTCTCCGTGCTATCCGCAGACCTCATCTAGACCCCGCGCCGATATTGGTGGCAGCTTTGCGAGTCGACGCGGTCATGCGAGCCAGCTGTCAATTTCAGACCCCAGCCACCATGTGACGGAGACCATCGGAACCCTATACGGCGACGAGGAGTACGACAGCGATGGCCGACCCGTTAGTTACCTCGGACAGTCCTACACGGATCAGCTGAACAACAAGCTCGAATCCGATCTCCCCGGCGACGATCCTCGTAGGCAGATGATACGTTCAGCATCGGACAAGACGGGCTTGGGGATGACGCAAAACGGATCCCCAACTCTCAAAAAATCTCAGACTTTGCCTACGCGGTCGCCTAGCCAGCGAAGTATTTCGTTCGAGAACGGACCCAAATCGCCGCCTATCTCCTTGCGAGATGTCAAGAACGAGTCCTCTCAGTTTCCCCTAGGCAGCATCGAGAACCCGAATGATATTGCGCAAGAACTCAACAACTTGCAGGCCCTCAGGCGCATGTCTATGGATGTCGGAAACAATGCGGACCCTGATATGCTGCCTTTCTCAGGCCTGTCTCTCATTGCCATGCCTCCTATCGCACCAACGGGGGACGACGACGAAAATGATCCCTCGAGGTTACTTTGGGTCCCAGCAGCAGTTCATCCCGAGCTGGCGCCGACAGAGTTTAAGACCTTCTTGGAGGATCGCGTCAAGTCTATTCGGCGACGATCGGGCGACTCCAGCGACGGTGGTATGGGCCGAAGCGATTCTGGCGGCGGCCTGCGAAGGAAAAAGAGCATGCTCTCACGACAAATCGACAATTCTGGGGGGAGAGGCGCCGTTGGTTACGTGGACGGCGCTGAGAGACTCGGAAGAAATAGCTCGCTCAGAGATTATTCAACGCCGGAGCTCAACCTAAACGAACTAGTCAAGGATCCATCCAAAGTGGTGCGTGAGCTTTCCGAGGGTGCCCAGCCGGAGGCTGGCGCCGAAGATTTGCCCATCTTGCCCGTGGCTCCTGGCATGGGACTTCGCCGGTCAACCCGGACAACATACCGAAAAAACGGTAGTGTACGGTCAGAACGCCTGCCATTCTCCAAGCGGGTCACCAATCGACACACCCACACGGATTCGTCTGACTCTGCCGACACGGTCCCCCCTCTGCCATCTGACGTGCCCGATGTGCCTCCGTTACCGACGCAGCAAAGAGCCCAGTCAGAGCCAGTGTCTGAGAATTTCTCGCGTCCCAATCGATCAGTCCGACGCCAGCACAAGTTTTCTCAGGATCTGGGCGCAACGTCCGACGGTGCTTCACCCGAAGTTGAGGAGCCCGTCTCTCCCCCGAGTACACGTCCTGAGCAGCAACACCCGACAAGAACATCTTCAGTTTCAGCTGAGGCCAAACCCTCCGTTCCTGCCATCGTTGAGTCGCCAGCGACGGATGAGAGCGCGCAAAGGCAGCAGTTTCCTCAGAGGTCTTCCTCTTCACAGCATGCTCCTTCACAGTCCCTCATGGATGAGCCTCCCGCTCGTTCAAGCAAGCGCCCTGGTTCAAGCAACTCTGTACCAAGCCCTACAACTCCTACGGCCCCCCAACAGCCGCCACAGGTGCAGCAGCCCAGGCAGCAGACCAATGCTCCCAACCAGACCTTAAGCGACATGGCTTCGCACCCATCTGCCTTACCTGGCAGTGGCGCATCTCGAACCGATACGTTGACTTTCATCCCCACTCTGCAGCCAGAGGAGAAGAAGCCAGAAGAAAAGAGGGTGGAGAGAAAACTGAGAAAGGAAAGAGATGATGATGCCTCCAGCGTATCCTCCAGCAAATCTTCCGGTGGCTGGCCGAAGTGGCTCAAGGGTGGTAGCGATGATAAGGACAAGAAGAAGAAAGAAGAAGAAAAGAGGAAGAAACAGCAAGTCGCAGAGAAGGGGCAGGACAATGCTCGACTGGATGTTCTCCAGAACTCGATCGAGGGTGCATCTTCCAAGGGAAGAGAAAGCATCATTGTGGACCGCGACAACGTCGACAACAAACTGGTCGAAGAGAGAAAGAAGGAGAGCAAGAAGTCGGAAGCCAAGAAGGAAAAGGAGGGCGGTCTCTTCTCAGGCCTCTTTGGCGGTAGCAAGAAGAAGAGTGAGAAGGAGAGCAGCAGCAAGAAGAACCAACATCTGCGGGTTTCGGAGGAAGTGCCGTACCGCCCACTCAAGGCTGACGTCGACTACCACTGGACCAGATTCCCATTGCTCGAAGAACGAGCGATTTATCGGATGGCTCACATCAAGCTCGCAAACCCGCGTCGCTCGCTGTTGAGTCAGGTTCTTCTCAGTAATTTCATGTACAATTATCTCGCCATCGTTCAGGCCATGCACCCGCAGATGCAGGTCCCGCAGTCACCGCAGCAAAGACGACTGGAAGAGGAGCGCCGCCGCAAGGAACAAGAAGAGCAGTACTTGGCGCAACAACAACAGCAGCAGCAGCAGCAGCAGCAAGAGGCGGGGGATCAAGACTCGGCGGGCCAGTACAATTTTGATTATCATCGGGTATGTTGAGTATCTCCTCGGCAGCTCATAAACCCAAGCTAACTCGATTTATAGGGCGAAAACCAGTACGGGGACCATCCTCACGATGAGGTGGACTACGTAGATGATGCTCAGATTTATGAGTACGACCATGGCGGCGACATGGACAATGGACGCAGCAATGGCTACCAAGGCCCTGATAGCTATGATCCTCAGCCTGGCAAGCAGTATTATCACGATCAGTATGGGCGAGATGGCGGCGACGACGTAAGGCGCCGGGACGACCGAGAGGACATGTGGTGATCTCTGGCATGTGGTGAGATGCAGCGGCAGAAGCAGCGGCAGCGGCAGCTGTAGTTGTAGCTGCTTGCGGGGATGGCTTTCTTGGTCGGTACGACTCCTAGACCCTGCCTCGGATTGCACTGTTCAACCCCGTTGGAAGGCGCTGTGTAATCATCCAAACGTATGTGCATTAGGCGGAGTTGATGGATTGAGTGCGACTTATATTCAAAACGGGAACCCGCGGGTGGCTTGGCTAAGCCTCCATCAGTTCCCTCATTTTCACATCTTTCATATCTTCATATTTAGTATTTTGCAGGGTGGACTTGTGGTGGACGGTGGATTGATTTTGTTGCAGCGCATGTACGCAGTTAGCATAGCGACCGGGATCTTCTGGAGGCTGCTTAGGTTCGATTGCGACGCGCGGGGAGAAAGAATAAAGTAGCGCAACCACAGCATGTGGTGGACCCATCTGTTTGCTCCTGACTTGCCAATAGTTAATACCTTGCCCAGGTTGCGTTGGGATGCCGTTGTTTCGGCTTCCGGCCTCTGGAGTCCCGCCTCATCCCGCCGGGCCTCATCCCAGAGCTGGATCTCACGTGCCAAGGTTGCTGGGAGCCTACATAGGGCAATCTAAGGTAAGGTACCCTACCTTGAGGTATCCTAAGGTGACCATGGTCGTTCTTTGAGGAAAATCAATGCTGCATCTCTGCGAGGAAGAGAATGCCACGAGACCTGCAGGTCTAAATGATCAAAGAGAATGAGCTGAGGTGCTGTTCGCCTCCGTTTGAATCGAATGTCGTGTCTAACCCTGACAGGTCCAACTCGGGGCAAAAGTGAGCAATAAAGTGAGGAGCTGAGGTGTGTTTAGCGCAACCTGGAAGGCAGCTGCCCGAGCCCCGCTGTAGTGCCTGGAGGTGCCCAGCAGGCTCTCAGTGAGCTCTGAGCCCACCTTTAGTCTTTGAGCTGCTCTGGGCTGTTCTGCCTGCCCCAGAATGGCCAGGAGTAAGGTGCTCTTGAGAAGGCCCAGAGCATTACCTTGGCCCCTGCCAGCTGTGAGAGCATGCGCTAAACCCTTTGAGGCAAGAGCAGCCTCTTCTGGCAGTGCGCCAATTCGTCCGTTCGTTGCTTCCACCTACACCTTGCACTTTTCCTTAACCTCCAGAAAAATATCACCAGCCTTGTAAGGGGAGCTTATTCCTTTTCTCGTCGCAAACATCGCCGTCTGCTCCTTCCAACCCCATTTCCATCTCCGTTGATACCCAATTCCTCCCCTCTCTGACCTCCCGAGCCGAGCACCCGGTCACCTACCCGACGACGACCCCCGAATCCGATCGGCCCCTGTGACCTCCAATCGCCCAATCTCCATCTCGCGATTACCTCGACAAAAAACTAGCATGGCTGCCGTGAGTTACCTCTTTTTTTCGTCATCCAAAGCCTCTGATCCAGTGCGATCTTCCTCTTGATGTCCTCTGTTTCGTTGCGCACTTCCCCTTCTGCTCTATCCTCGTTGCCGCGATGCTTCGTGGTTCTCGGGCGGGACCTTGGCAGCTCCTCCTTGTCCCGCTTCTGGCCCCAGTACTAACATGTCATCGATGTTTATAGCCGCGTCCATACAACAACAACCCGGGCTACATGCCCAACGGAGCTTCTTCGATCCCTCCTGGAGCTGCGCCTCTCCTCCCCAATCAGGGTCGCGTTATCCAGACTGGCCCCATCCGAGTTCTGTGCATAGCTGATGTTCGAGGTTCGTCGCTCTTCCATCAAACCCCGTCAAACGGCCGGCTATGGAGCTTGACTCTGACATGATATCTGATAGGAAACCTCACATCCCTAAACGACCTGGCAAGACAAGCACGAGCCGACCACATCATCCACACTGGCGACTTTGGCTTCTACGACGACACCTCTCTGGAGCGAATCGCAGAAAAGTAAGGAACACTCCGCGACTCTATAAATGACCGTTGTCATTCTGACACTGGTGCGAAGAACCCTGAAGCATGTTGCTCAGTACTCCCCTCTGATTTCCGAGCCTGTCAAGAAGGCGATCCAGCAGGGCGGCCCCGGACCCGTCAAGAGCCGATTCCCTGCCAACGAGCTCCCCCTCTCCGAGCTCTCTCTTCTCCTGAGCGGCGAGATCAAGCTCGATATTCCAGTATACACTGTTTGGGGTGCTTGCGAAGATGTTCGCGTTCTCGAAAAGTTTCGTTCCGGAGAGTATAAGGTACAGAACCTGCACATCATCGACGAAGCCCGTTCAATGCTTCTCGAGCTTGGTGGAGTCAAGCTGCGCCTCTTGGGTCTCGGCGGTGCTGTCGTCATGCACAAGCTCTTCGACAACGGCGAGGGTAGAACCACTATTGCTGGAGGCCAGGGAACGATGTGGACTACCTTGTTGCAGATGGGCGAGCTCGTCGACACCGCGCACCGAGTTTACGATCCCACCGAAACCCGCGTATTCGTCACTCACGCTTCTCCTGCTCGTGAGGGTATCCTGAATCAGCTTTCCGTCACCCTCAAGGCCGACTTCTCCATCTCTGCTGGACTTCATTTCCGCTATGGCAGCTCCTACAACGAGTTCAGCGTAAACCCCACCCTTGACCACTACCGCGGCAAGCTCGCTGCCTCCAAGGCCTCGTTCAACGATGTTTGGGAGACGGTCAAGAACGAGGTTGAGCCAGCCATCTCTCAGAATGAGGGTCAACAGAACTTGCTCAAGAACGCCCTCCAGATTGTCGAGAAGATGCCCACTACCGCTGCTGGAGGCAACCCCTTTGGCGGTCCCGTTGCCGGTCAAGCACAGCTCGGCCAAGTTGACGAGAGTGCTTTCAAGAACATGTGGAACTTCAACCTGGCTGATGCCGCGTTTGGATGGTTGGTGCTTGAGATTCAGGACGGGCGTATCGGAACAGAGATGCGCGCCCAAGGCTTCAACTTTTCACACAGAGGTGCCAAGGCGGCCGCGCCTGTTCCCGCCGGACCTGCTGGGGCTGGCAATTTACCTGCCCCGGCGCCTCCCTCTACACAGACTACGGCGCCCCCGCCCTCCAGCAGACAGCCTTCGTCTCAAGCACCTCCCAAGCCTGCAGTCGCAACACCCCTGCCGTCAGCTAAGCCTGCGACTCCTCAACCTGCTGCTGCAGCACTGCCTGCGGTCCCTCCCAAGGACGAGCGTCCTGCGCCAGCGGCCGCTAACGGATCAGCCAACGGCCCTGACCCCGTCTCTTCTCCCGCGCCCAAGACGCCTGCTCAAGACATTGTCGGTCTTTTCATTATGAATGTCAATTCCGAGGAGCAGACTCGTGATCTTTTCGACGGCGAGCACAAGAACAACATCCTCAAGGTGGAGAAGTGGGGCAACTCCAACAAGGTTGTTATGTTCAAGACGATTGAGGAGCGTGATGCTGCTCTCAATAGCCTTCCCGAAGATCTCAAGACCCGTACCCAAGAGGACCGATCCCGCCCCCTCGTTAAGGTTTTCCAACACCGAGAGAGCAAGTTCCAACCCCGTGGAGGTGCCGGTAACTGGGGCAGCAGCAGAGGTGGCGGTAACTCTGCAAACACTGGCAGCGGCTATCGCAGTGCCGGTGGCGCCAGTGATTCTGAGAGTACCCGTCGCGGTGGTCGCGGTGGTGGCCGAGGCGGACGTGGAGGCGAGCGCGGAGGACGCGGTCGAGGTGGCCGCGGTGGCCTCAAGGGCGAAGGCGGCGCCTCCCCCGCCCCTGGTCCTGCTACCCCGGCAGAGTAGGACTCTTCTCCTGAAACCTTTGATGAAGTATGGGAGATGGCACGGGCCTCGGGATCGAAGCCACGTTGTCCATCAAATGAAGTCTTTGAAGCTGTAATGGCCAAGTTTGGCCCCTCGCAAGCAGGGGAATGAAAGGACAAAGATTTTATCGTTTTTGCTGGTTATGAAAGGGAGAAAGGGGGGCCAAAGAAAAATAAGTGCTACCAATTCTTGTACGCGTATCTTAATGAGACAACTTGAGGGGGAAGGGGGAAAAAAGACCTTTTTACTCAGTTTTCCGTTTTCATCCATGTTGGGGAGTTTTCTTCGTCGATGAGAAGCGCAAAAAAGGCGGCTGAGCCACACGAGAGAGAGAGAGAGAGAGAGAGAGAGAGAGAGAGAGAGAGAAGAGAGAGAAAAAGTCAGACCTAGGACATGACGTATTCTGGTTCCAATGGTTGAGGCTTTCCAGGAACTCTTGATGGAATGGAAACTACATTTACCCCGTGATTACGTGGAACACGAGGAAGACATTGTGCGGTTGGTAGTCATGATGGGAATAGCAATCCAATGCCAACTCCAAGGATTAGGTTTCTTCTGTCGTGAGTGACTCTTCATGTGAAGGCTTGTCATGACTGAAGGAAGATGGCGTTTCTAGTTGACATGCGGTTGGAGTACAGATGGTGTGTTGCTGTGTAATTGCGGGTTTGGGAGAGGGCTGCGAAATAAGCTTGGCTCTAACCCCTTGAGCGGGCTTAATATTGTAGTGAAGCCTGCAACTCAGTTGCGCGCGCAAGGCCCGCGACCGGCGAAGCGCGGCACAAGTACGAATGTATAATTTTAGTGAGGTATCCCAAGCTTGTGGCCAAGACGATGAGGCTGTGGGTTGTCACATGCATGTCTTGATCTACAACGCCTACTCAAAAGTCTGGTCACAGCAATAAGGCTTTCTCACCGAAGTCTTATATGCCAACAATATGAATACTTATCCAAATCGAGTACAGAGTTCATTATAAGACACCTGAAATGCAGCCTTTTAATTTCAGAGGAAAACTATTATAAAACGAGTTTCATTTGAGTGCTGTAATATAAACAGGTAGGGTAAAGATGATGTGGGGTGAACGGGGGGTAGTTTGGTGCCACACTTTTTGCTGTGACCAGACTTTTGAGCTGGCGTTCTGGCATCGTCCTCTTACTTTTAGGCCGGCCATTCACTACGTAGATGCCTGTCTGCATCTGGGGATTCACTCCGCTGTGGTATGATTTTCTACGACGGTAAGCTGCAATCTAGTCCAGAACACTGGTTCAGTCGATGGGATTCATACCACGAACTCCAAGCAATAGATATTCCTGCCTTCTCATTGAATTTCTGGTACAGACGTGTTCTAAGAATACCGGATACGGACGAAAATCAGACTCGATTTTCGAGATGGGCCCAATCATCCCAGACCCTGCTACCCGTCAGTTTCGCCATCCCTCAACAAGATAGGTCTGAAAGCTGTCTTCAACTCGATGACTGTCTCGTAAATAGGAAAGTGTGTCAACAAATCCATAGGAGAGAATGAGGCATATGTGGAATCACCGCTGTCGACACGGGCTAAGAGATGGGTATAATTGTATAAGGAACAAGGTTGGGGGATAGTCGATAGATATGTCGATAGTTTGAGGAGCTAAACTTCCAAAGTCAGGCGCAAGGACATGGTTGATTTGGAAAAAAAATTTGGTCTCAAACGTTGTTAGCCAAGGCCAGTTATTTGGCTATTTTGCTCTCTAAAAATGAATCTTGTAACACCCTAGAAATGGCGTTGCTCATCCTCGTTGATGACAATTTCGACGGGTAAATGACGGGAGCTTGTCATTCTCTCACATACTCAAGACAGCGCTTACTACTCCTCGGAAACTCTCGATCTACTTGCGTTATGTAGTTGTGGTCCAGGCCCAACGGCCTTCTTGGTATACATTTTTGTGCAGAGAGTCTATCTGGTTGCCCTCTGTCTATGCAGCCATGCTGATGATTCACTTTTCCGTGTTGATACATATACATACAGTTTACAAGAGCTTCGCGAGCTCATCTGAGCCCGTTTTTTTTTTTTCGTGGATTTCTTCCTCGCGCCGAGTGCCCCTGAATCGGATTTACGCGATGGGCTTCATACCCTTGTGAATGGCCGCAACGCCACCAGTCAGGTTCTCATAGCCCTCACCCGAGATAACGAATCCAGCATCTTTGATCATGTCCCTGAACTCCACCTGGCTCGGGAACCGTTCGATACTCTCGACGAGGTACTGGTAGCTGTCCCTATCACCAGCGACGAGCTGGCCAATCAGGGGAATGCCGCTGAAGGACCACCGCTTGTAGATGGCGTTGAAGAGCGGGTAGTCGTCGGCCTTGCTGAACTCGAGGCAGGCAAAGACGCCACCGGGCTTGAGCACCCGGTGGGCCTCGCGCAGGGCAGCGGGGATGTTGGTGAAGTTGCGGATGCCGAACGCGACGGTGTAGAGGTCGATCGAGTTGTCCTTGATGGCGCCCTCTGGGAGCTTTTCGGCATTGGCCTCGAGCCAGGACGTGGCGGCCTGCTGGGAGGCGGGGAGGGACTTTGACCTGTCGCGGCCGACGGCTAGCATGGAGGGGTTGATATCGGAAATTGTGACGCGGACGTCGGGGTTGTGGTTGATGTTGTGCGCCGTGTGGAGCATGCGAAAGGCGATGTCGCCGGTGCCGCCGGCAATGTCGAGGATGTGTTGCGGTGTGGGTGGGTTGGAAGCTGAGAGGCCTGGCTGGAGGCCGGAGACGAAGTGGTCCCTGGGAGGGTGTTAGTGGTGGCATGACGGTTGTTAAGAGAGAGAGGACCAGACGTACTTCCATATTCTGTGCCAGCCAAAGGACATGAGGTCGTTCATGCGGTCATACGAATCGGCGACGCTGTGGAAGACGCCGGCGACGCGATCGGCCTTCTCGGACTCGGGGACGGTCTTGAAGCCAAAGTGCGTCGTCTTGCCATCGGCGGAAGGGTCGGTTGAGGTGTTGATGGAGCGGGAGGCGACTGCGAAGGGTCGGGAGACAGGGGAGGGTGATGTGCTGAGCTGGTACGAGAGGGATCTTACGCTCCAGGGGGAGCGGAGGGCGCGTCGGGTTGCCATTGCTAGGGAATGGCTCGTTGTCGTGGAGAGGGAAGACCTGGGGCGCGCGCAATGGAGTCAGTCGATCGGTGCTGGGAGAGCTTTCGGGATGGAATTAATTTTTGGTGGAGAAGGTGCTCGAGTGTGGCTGGTGCGCGCTAAGTCGATGACATTGGGGTCAAGCCACATCTTGAAGACCAGGGTCTGTGAAGGATGATATCCAGATGGGTGTGTGGAATTCATTCCTAGGAAAAACGAAGAAACAGCCTACCTAGACAGTAGTTTCGTTAGAGGCAGCTTCAGTTGTCGAAGCCTCCTTGCGCGCCGCTCGGTGATGGGCCAAAATCGTGGCGAAGGTGTGAATCTGGTTGCGGGCGAAGTACACAATAGCGCAGAGGAGCAAGGTAAGCATGAGGACCAAAACAGCAATTTTGGCTGCAGGACTCATATTGACGCTTTGAATCGATGGTTTGATGTCTTCTGGATCTTGTTCTAGGGTTGATCCGAGAGGGGAAAAAAAAGTTGTTGATCCTTGGCGACGAAGTCAAGTATTGAGGTTATTGATGAGAGGCCGTTGTTTGTGGTGGATGATGAAGGGGGGGAATAGGTGTCCTTCTTCTGCTGAAATGGGTATTTTGGAAGTGTGCAAGCAAAAAGAAGTATGTGCACTTTTTTTTTGTAGTAATTTCTTGAACTGGTCGTGAAGGCATCCAAGTCAGGTTGGACTTACACCCAGCAAACAGAAGCTCTATACTGAGACACACCGGCCACCGAACCGCATCCTTGGGATTTGCTGATAACGGCAAGTGGAGATATCGATAAAGACCCATATTAGGTCTCCACCGGCAGACAGTGAAAAGAACAGTGTCTGGACTGTGTTTGCGAGGTCAAGACTCGGACACCTCCGAGCTGTTGAGAACCACGCTCCCTCCTGAGATACCGAGACAGCAGCAACTCTCGGCCAACTTCCTATTCCTCGGGTGATGGATCCGACATGGGAATCACAATTCCCACCGACGGTCTCCAAAGCTTGCAGTCGTTGCCGTGCACGGAAAGTCAAGGTTGGTCGCTACCCGTACACCACAAGGACAATGAATTGCTGACATCCTAGAGTGTGATTTACGGGTTCCACGATGCTCAGCTTGCCAAAAACAGAATGAGCAGTGCAACATCACCGACTGTGTGACTTACACATACGCCGCTGTCAAAAGTCTGCAACACCGAATCAGCCAGCTTGAATTCAGACTCAACGCTAGTCCTGAAGGTACAGCAAGCCAACCTGCCCCGGTAGCTGAGACTGGCCAATTCGACGATGTTCGCAAAGCGGCCGAAGAGATTGGTGTGCTGGCAATTGGAAGGCCGAGCGGCTACTCGGACAGAATATACAGTGAGTATTACTCTACAAGGCCACGAGCTGGTAATTTGTTCCTGGACGTATGTGATTGATCGATGTTTCCATCCTATAGTGGGCAGTGCAACCGGCTCGACCTTTGCCCGAATCTTCTTCAAGCAGATTCACCTAGTGGCATCAACGTCGCGCTCAGCTCGACAAGAGCTCTCCAGCCAGGACCATGAACTTGCCCGGAACAACGCTGCACTTCCCCCGCAGCCTGTCGCAAGATTCCTCCTGACCACGTACATCAGTCGCATACATCCATGGTGGCCATTCATTTCTCTTCCCTTTCTAAGAAGCAGCCTCGCACGAATGTACGAGGATCCAGCAAGGTGCACATTGTATCAAAAATTTTTGATTCTCATGATGTTAGCCCTCGCTTCAACGACTTGCACAGAAACCCAGGAATACCGACGGATGATGGACTTGAACAGGCCGACAGACTACTTCCAGACAGGCCTACAATTCTTTCTGAATTCACACGACCACCCCAGAGATCTCCAAGGCCTTCATTCCGTGCTCTTGGTGAGCTTGTGGATGCTAGGATCAAATATTAGAAATCACGGCGACGACCTTTGGCAGATGAGTCGGTACGCCATGTCAACAGCCATAGAAATGGGTCTTCACCGGCGCTCCACCACCCCGGGCGACCTAAATTCTGATGATCGGGAGATCCGAAATCGGACCTGGTGGTGTGTATATACCTTGGAGAGACAGGTCGCTGTCATCACCGGCCGGGTACTTTCTGTCCGAGAACACGCGATAGATGCGCCAAAGCCATGTGTCAGTACCCTTGACGACCTCACAGATTATGAGGCTCGGGCAGCGCCAGTATTTCAGAAGCTTAACGTCAAGCTTTTCAATCATTTAGTGGGACTTCGTCAGATTGGTGGGCGGATTCTTGAATCCGTTTACATCGCTAGGGGTACTGATGGGCGAGCATCGAGAAACACATTCCAAGAGATTTGCAACGAAGTCGGAAAGATCCAGCAAGAATTAGAGAGCTGGAAACGAGACATGGAATCCCTCAACGTGAAGGGAACACGCGAGTACTCCGAGATGAAGATCGAATATTCACTTCTCCTGTTGCTCATGTATCGACCATCTCCCACGTTCATGATTCCCTCCAAAGAGATGGTTGAGATCTGCTCTCGGGCTGTGTCTGGAACCGTTCGGCAGTGGCTGAAGTTGGAGTTTCAACATGGCATCACTGCCATTTGCGGATGTGTACGACAAGTGCATTCAATCCTAATGGTAGGACTGGCAGGCTTGTATTGTGACTGGTAAGTTTCTTCATCTCTTCAGGCCCAATTTGAATGTTTAGGTTGCAAGCTGATCGTCAGCTACCAGGCACATGAAAGCGATGACCCAAAGTCCAGAATCCCCTCTTCTTTACTCTCATGGGAGTAATGTAGCATCATGCATGGACCTCATCGAACGCGGAACAGCTCGAATGAAAGAAGAAGGCCTGCTGAAGTACCGTGACCTTCTCCAAGCAGCGAGAATTAAGGTATATGGCCCAACGACGTGGGAGCCACGAAGCGTGCAGACACAAGCCACAGATGCATCATCCGTAGCTCCTGTGGATCCATCAAGCACCCTTGGTCTAATTGGCCCAGACAACTTGCAGTCCCATCTGTTCTTCCAAGGCGATGGGCTAGAAACGTACATGAACCAGGTTACAGGATATTTCGACAATACTCAACTTGGGTTGGATGAGGGCCTGACCGCCTGGTTTGGCACTTTCATGGATGAGTTACAATCGAACCAGAATAGGGAATTGGTATGAATAATACATTGCCACAATGATTCCAAGCAACACACTAAGCCTATGGGACCACTGGGCCGCCCTGACATGGCAACTGGGGTTCGTGCTTGTTGAGTGACCTGATCATGAGCTATCGACACTGGCTAGCCTGATGCCATGACACAGCTTCAGTAAATCAGTCGAACGTCTAAGGGTCGAGAAAGAAATGCGGACATCGAATCATTATCATCGATTTGATCCCTTCTTCCCATGAGATTGGCTGCAATTAGCCAAAGACCGAACGGATCTCGGACTGAACCGAGGATGAGGGAAGAGCGGCCTGCGCGATGTCCACAAAATTTCGGTCTTGACCGAGCTCTGTGCCTATCTCGATTGCCTACTTTTCGGAAAGGCATTGGAGCACCCCATGAGTATGTTCGGCTAGCCTTGCATAACAATCACCACAGTTCTTGATCTTAAAGGAAGGTCATAATTATTCGGAACTTGGCTACCAAACAGTGGCTTTCCGACTTACACGAAATCACAACATACTAGGCATTGCAAGCATCATGTCTGAATCTCAGCCAAAGAACCAGCCGGCCACTAGCCACACGGCTGTACTGAACTCCAAAAACGCCTCTATTTTGGTAACATTTGTCTTCGATCTTTGAATCTCTTCTTTTCCAAATCACGGTGCTGACTTTCGATACAAGGTCGGCATACGCGATGGCGTCACTGGCGAATTCCGTCTTGTCCCCAGAGAGCAAGCAACGATTTCAGTCTTTGACTCAAACTTTCTTATCGGCGATGGGATTTGGGTGAGTTACAGGTTAAGCCGACTGTGAAAGAGCAAAGGCTGACCTAGTGGTATCTCATGATAGGAAGGCATCCGTGCTGTCAGAGGCCGAGTTCAGTTCGCCAAGGAGCACGTAAATCGGCTGTTCCAGTCTGCAAAGGCAATGTACATGGACTTGGGCTTGACAAAAAGAGACCTCCTATCTCTGCTTCACCAGACTTTAGATGCCAACGACATGGGCAACGAGCCTCACGTCCATATGCGCTTGGTCGTCAGCAGAGGATTAAAGTCGACGCCCTACCAGAACCCGCACGTCAACATCGGGTTGCCTCTCATCGTTATCATACCCGAGATCAAGGCTGTAGATCCTACGGCCAAGTCGCGCGGTATACGTCTCGGCACGACCTGGGTCCGACGAGGCCCGCCGGACGTCAAGGACGAGCAGTGGAACCACATCTCCAAGGCGACGGACGTGCAGGCCTGCGTGCACGCCAACTTTATGGGGGTCGACGAGGCGCTCATGCTAGACCTCAACGGCTTCGTCAAGACGTGCAACTCGGTCAACTTCTTCATCGTCCGTGGCGACGAGGTGTGGGCGCCGACAAAGGACAACCAGATGCAGGGGATCACGCGGCAGAAGACCATTGACGTGTGCCGGGCGGCCGGCATCAAGGTACGAGAGCTCGACTTTGCGCTGACGGAGGTGTACGGGGCCGACGAGGCTTTCTGCACCGGCACATTCCCGTCGCAGATCCACGTCACCGAGGTCGACGGGCGCAAGATTGGAGATGGGAAGAGAGGGGCTGTGACGGAGGCGATCCAGAAGCTTTACGTGGCTGAGGTTGAGCGAGATGTTTCGAGATCGAGGGAGCAAATCCTGGCTGAGCTCGAGCAGGTTCGAGACTTGAGAGTTTTGGAAGGCCTGAAGTCGAAGCTTTGAGTCTCCGTATTAGTCTCCATAAAACTAATCTAGTAGCCAAATTTTTTTGGAACAACTTTGCATGCTACGAGAGAAGGAGAAATCGGTCGTGATCCAACGTATTTCACCAACAGAACTCGTTCAATTCGTCGACTGTCTGATTTCTTAGCTTCGATTCTTCTGGCGGGAAGTGGGATGAAACCGAGAACTCGGCCTATATACACCATCAACTTGCCTCAGACAACATCGAATTGCATGCCCGTGTGTTCTCATCACCTTTGCTTTGAAGACTTGCGATCTGAAAGCGCCAAAAATTGAAACGACCCGGGAGATGTAAAAGGTCATTTGTGAATAGTTCTCACTTGCCATAGCTTGAGCCATATGACATTCCATTAGCCAAAAAGACGCCTACCCTGGATGATGATCTCGGCAACAGTGCGAGAGCTGGTGGAGCACGAGTCAACACTCCAGCTCGGACTGCACCGATCTCTCCACTTCAATTACCTCGGTGGGAACCGAGCAAAGCTCCACATTCTCATTGCGTGATACCCCAGAATGATAACGTCAATCGCCGTTCCTGTCTGCCGTCTCCGTATCGACAACGACATGCTATGAGCCTGTTGATATCCAGAGGTCCGGTAGATGATGTGGAGTGAGCATTGAAATACCTGCGGTTCCGCCGCGACATGATGGAACGTTTATCGGGGTTTTGATTCCTGGTCTTGGTTCGACTTGACTTGACTTTTCCTTCGAGAAAATTTTTTTCTTGTCGATTAAATGAGCTGACCGAATTGTTTTGTTGATTGGGAGCCCAGCAACACAAGCTCCGACTTACACGGTCCCATTATCAGTGTTCAACGCATTTCGCATTTCTTGATGGCACCAAAACCAGCCATGGTTGACCACAACGCAACCGATCAGACGGACGTCAAGGACGTCCAAGATGGAAGCTCTCAGTACGACGAGACTCTGGCGCCGACGCCCGCTGAGAACAGGCGCCTGCTGATGAAGACGGACCTCGTTGTCCTCCCCTGCGCCGTGATCAGCATGACCCTCGCGTTCCTCGACAAGGCAAGCCAACCTTCTTCATCCTCTGTCACAATCCCTTGTACCGTCCTAACCGGTGCCCGATACAGAACGCCCTGGGCTTCGCCGCAATCTTTGGCCTGCGACAGGACGCGAACCTAAAGGGCCAGGAGTACAGCTGGCTCGGCTCCGTCTTCTACTTTGGCTACCTGTCCATGGAAATTCCCGCTCTCTACCTCATCACAAAGTTCCCCATTGGCAAGTTCATCGGCGCCTGCCTCATCCTCTGGGGCGCCTGCGTCTGCCTCATGTCCGCCTGCCACAACTTTGCCGGTCTCGCGACGATCCGCGTGCTGCTCGGCATCTTCGAGGCCGCCCTGCTGCCATGCATGCTGGTCCTCAACGCGACGTGGTACCGCCGCGAGGAGCAACCCCTGCGAACGGCGCTCTGGCACAACACCTTTGCAGGCGTGTTCGGCGGCATCCTCTCGTACGCCATCGGGAACATCAAGGGCAGCCTGTCGACGTGGAAGTACATCTTCATCATCTATGGCGCCGTCACCGTCGTCGTCGGCTTCGTCGTGCTCTTTGCGCTGCCCGACTCGCCGCAAAAGGCGTGGTTCTTTGACGAGAACGAGAAGAGGCGCGCTGTCGCCCGCCTCGCCGAGAACCAGACGGGCGTCGACGTGAAGAAGAATTTTGACGCGCGCCAGGTGCTCGAGGCCGTCAAGGACCCGAAATGCTGGTGCGTCTGGGCGTGCGCCATCGGGTACGCGGTCGCCAACGCGGGCATCACAAACTTCAACCCGCTCATCATCTCGGGGTACGGCTTCAGCCAGACCAAGACCGTCCTGATGGCTACGCCGCAGGCCGCGGTCGCCATGGTCGCGGGCGTGGTGCTCACGACCATCTCCATGTTTGTTCAGAACCTGCGGTGTCTCTTCTGGATCCTCTCCGCGGTCGTGGGGCTCGTGGGCGCCGTCATGGTGCACACGCTCGACATTTCCCAGCACCGGGACGCTAGCCTGGCCTGTGTGTACATCATGGGCTTTTATAATGTTCCCTGGGTCTTCATGCTGAGCCTCAACTCGTCCAACACGGCGGGGGCGACCAAGAAGAGCTTCATGGGCGTGACGGTGGCCGTGTGCTACGCGATTGGCAACATTGTCGGGCCTCAGCTCTTCCTGTCGAGCCAGGCGCCGCGGTACCCGCTCGGCATCAGCGCCATGATGTTTGCGTTCGCGCTCATGGCGGCGTCGGGGGTCGTTTACTATCTGCTTTGCATTGCCGAGAACAAGCGCCGCAACTCCAAGTATGGGGTACCGGAGGACAGGTTGCAGGCTGGTCTCGACCAGGAGAGGGAGGACAAGACTGATTGGGAGAATACGGATTTCCGTTATACCTACTAGTGTGATAGCCCATGAAGCGAGATTTGGTTTTGCCTTGACGAAGACCAATTCGATGTTCAGCTCCTTCCTGTGAGATTCCCTTGTGATAATATTTCAGCCAAGAGGCCTTTGCTGTGTACTAGTACGGTTTTTAGATTCTTGGCCCCTAGGAGGGACAGTAAATCAAGGTACAACGGATTCTTGTAGGATGACTTGAGCAATCCAAGAAGACGGCTTGTGAGGGTGAGAGCTGTGGGGTTAGAATCGGCCCAGGGACATAGCGGTAAGGTATATCTGCAAGTTAGGTGGGAACCCGCAAAGTAAGAGAGAGGTAGAGTTGTGCTAGCGTGATCTAACTTAATGGAAGCTCTTCGACAAGCGTCACTGGAGCGTCACTACAGCGTCACTTTATAAGACAACCCTTACTTAGTTGAAATAAACTACGAGGAAACTGACTTCCCAACACGTGAGAGCTGAATGTCGCAGCCATTGACAAACCTCGCCAAGCATCGGTTAGCACTGGCAAACCAAACCACCGTTGCCAAGAACCAATTCGTCCAACACTTATGGATACATGGATCGCTCAAATCCACCTCTGGGCCGTCAGGTACGGTCAACAGACGGTAACGCAAAGGAAAGTCAAAAGGGAAAGAATAACGCCGTTGACAACGCCAGGCGCACGCTTCTCAAGATTCATGTAGTATCAAACCGTCCATGTACTCCGTAGACAAGTCCTGGTTCGCTTACGGGCAAAACAGTCCCTAGACGCCAGCACGGAGCAAACCATAACCTTGTCCAAATGGTAAGGTATCTTATTAGATTAGTAAACCACCCCCTGCCCGAAAACGGCTCGGTGTCTCTTATCGATTGGGGATCCCACGCGGGGGCCGGGGGCGCGGGGGAAGAAGCTCAGCAACGGCTCTCGGGGGCTTGGAAGGGAAACAGGCGCTGGCTGCTACAATGCTTTCGCTTTACGTCGGCTCAGCCATACCGTCACAACTTCGGCCGACGATAGACGGTCTTTCTCGGGATAGCTGGTCTCGGCATTCTCCCTCTGGACCTCAACTCCTTTCCCTTCTCTCCGAATTTCGTGTAACTGGGAAGGCTTTCTGATAATTTCCTTTTTACCAATTGGTCTCTGATAGAGTTAGTTCCAAAGGCGGAAAAAAAGGCAGACGATGAGGACCTCCAAAATCCTTCGCAGTGCACCCCTCGGCAGGCTCGCCGTCCCCCGAGCCGGCAGCGGTCCTTCGAAGACGACATCATCATCCCCAGCGGTGGCAGCAGCAGCCCCCCAAAGCCGACGAGCAGCGAGCAGCCTCTCCCAAAAGCCAAACGCGAACCATGTTTCCTTCCCCGGGGCTGTCAAAAGCGCCTTCACGAGCAACCTCAAATTCGAGACGCCAGGCGACTACCCCGCCGTGCCCACCTACCGCGTCGTAGACCAGAACGGCGCTGTCGTCGACGACGCCTTCGTCCCGGACCTGGGCGAGGAGGGGGTCGTCAAGCTCTACAAGGACATGGTATTCATATCCGTCATGGACCTCATCATGTTCGACGCCCAGCGTCAGGGCAGGCTGAGCTTCTACATGGTCTCGGCGGGCGAGGAGGCGCTAAGCGTCGGGTCCGCGAGCGTGCTGACGCCCGAGGATGTCATATTCTGCCAGTACCGCGAGCAAGGAGTCTTTAAGCAGCGGGGCTTCACGACGGCGGATTTCATGAACCAGCTCTTCGCCAATTCAAAAGATCCCGGTAGAGGGAGGAACATGCCGGTGCACTACGGCAGCAAAGAGCTGAATATCGTGGGTTCCACGACCGAGAAAGCACCTGTGTAAAATCATGCTAACTCGTGTCCGTACAGCATACCATATCGTCGCCACTGGCAACGCAGCTCCCGCAAGCTTCGGGAGCAGCCTACGCTTTGAAAATGCAGCGAATGCAAGATCAGTCGGTACCTCCCAGAGTTGTTGCGGCCTACTTTGGTGAGGGCGCGGCGAGTGAGGGAGACTTTCACGCCGCCCTTAACATTGCGGCTACGAGATCATGTCCTGTAATCTTCATTTGCAGAAACAACGGTTATGCCATCTCCACGCCGACGCTAGAACAGTACAGGGGTGACGGAATTGCCAGCCGCGGTCTTGGTTACGGAATCGACACCATCAGAGTAGATGGCAACGACATCTGGGCTGTCCGCGAGGCCACAAAGAGGGCCCGTGAAATGGCGCTCGAGAACGGAGGCCGTCCCGTCTTGATCGAGGCCATGACGTACCGGGTGAGCCACCACAGCACGTCGGACGACTCGTTTGCCTACCGTGCCAGAGTTGAAGTTGAGGACTGGAAGAGGAGGGACAACCCCATCACGCGCCTGCGCAAGTACATGGAGGCCAAAGGGATGTGGGATGAGGCCAAGGAAAAGGAATGCAGAGACTCGACTAGGCGGGAGGTGCTAAAGGCGTTCAAGGAGGCTGAGATGGAGAAGAAGCCGCCGATCCGAGGCATGTTCGAGGACGTCTATGAGGAGCTGACGCCGGATCTGAAGCAGCAGATGGCGCAGCTACGCGAGCACCTGGACAAGTACCCGGATGAGTACGACTTTGGTGAATTTGAAGGAGGCAAGGACAGCCTGAAGGCATAAACGAGCGGACCCGGCAAGATACCTGGCTAGAGAAGAAATGATACATGCGACATCTGAGGCGCTGTGGAATCGAGCAAAGCCTATGTTGCCATTGGTCGTTATCGGAGTTTTGTGAAGTGCTTTTTTTTTTACCTTCAAAACTTTGTTGATTATAAATGAAGTGTTGATCGACCCTGATGGCGTAAGAGGAGGAAGGAATGCCGACTCCCCACCAGGCTAAAACCAGCTCCGGCAGACTCTGGGGCCCTCTTAACGAAGTGTGGATGCGTAAACGGATACGTGGTTCCGTAATGATGAGCGGCTTTGTGATGCAAAGCTGTGGTGCAAGGTCAGCAGCACCTGAGAGACGGGGGACGGACAGTGACAGTGATACCTACTGTGATGGTAGAGCGGGGTCGAGCTGCCAGACGTTCCAGCACGGTCAGACACTAATACAATGATGCTGTATTCGGAGACAATAGCAGGCCTGGCCTGGCCGGATGGAACAGAGGCTTGTGACGGGTGACGGACGACGGCACGTCCATGATTGGCGTTGGCGCGGTTCGAGGGCCGGGACGGAGCCAGACGGTAAGCGTGACAGGAGAGGGACCGTTCCATGACATAGGTAGTCCTGCCTGTCGTATCTAGTAAGGTAGGCACGTAGGGTAAGGTATCCGTACACACCTTAGTACTCTCTGAGGAAGGTGGGGGGCTAAGGCCTTAACGCAGGGATCCCCCCTCTCGTGGCTGCACCGGTTGAGTTGGCTGTCCAGTGTCCCCAGTGGCTCCGTTGGAGCAAAAAGTGGATTGCGATATCAGAGCCGCTTGGAGCATGTTGGACGCGTGAGTGTGGCCTTGTCCTTGACTCCTTGTGCGTAAGGTGTGGTAACTGTAAGCAGCACCGGTGGTGTGTCTGTCCCGTTCGCCGGCCACGGCCCATCCAATAGTCAGCCCCGACACCTCTTCCTCTCCTGTGCTGCTATGGCGCTGCATAGACAACTTCTTCTGGTCCAAAACCACCCACACATCTTCCACACCTCAACCTTGCCATCGACCCTGTTCTTTCTCTGACGACGACGACGACAACGACGATAACGACACGACGACAACCGCTTCGAGGATTGAACACGCCGTTCATATCGATGACTCTCATCGCAACGGAATCGCCGTGTTTGATCCGTTGATTCGGACCAACCTGCCGCACCTCCCAAACGCTCTACGCCATCGTTTCTGCTGGCCATTTCCCGACCGTCCTGATAACATCGAATACCACACCGCCTAATCGCCAGCAACCCTCTAGCTGTCCTGCCTCATGGCGTAACCCATGGCAGAACGAATCGCCTCTGCAAACCAGCGCTCCAGATCGGTAGTCGACCACGATCCCCCCGCGCGCCTCCCGTCCACGCCGACGACAACATCCTCCGGTTCGGGCTCGCCCACCCTAGCTTCGACCTCGTCTTCCCAACGGTAGGTGGCTGCCCTTTCACCCGTACTTGTCGTGGTTCATTTCAACTCTTCCCATACACTGTTTTGTGTTTCGCGAGAGACAAAGAAAGGAGAAATCAAGAGAGAGAGGGCGTGTGGAGTGTGTGCTATGAGAGACAGAGACAGAGACTCGAGGGTGAAGAAGAAAGAAGACGCAACCAAAGAGGAGAGAGGAGAAACAGGCAACCGCCAGGCGCAAGGTGCGCAGAAGCACATCCGTTCGGAACAGAGACAGGAGCAGGAGCTGGAGCAGGAGGAACAGCATCCAGATGCTGTGGGGTAGTTGCCGGCTACAGCCAACTCAGGTCGTCCCGTGCCTTCCTGCCTTCTCTCTGGTCTACCTACTGCTTCACCTCCCCGTCTGCCTCCCGAGTCTTTTGGCGGGATACTCGAAACCAGCAGGGCACAAAAAAAGTCTCCTTTTCTGGCCTCAGGGTTCAGGGTGCCTGGACTGCTTTCCTTCCTCTCTCCCTCCCTGAAGCTACCTTACCTTCAGGCTTCAACACCCGAACAGCGGGATCTCGAACTTAAGCGGGTCGGGTCCCTATACCTGCCTCCCGTTACTTCCCTGCACCGTACATCCTGCCAGGCACCACCGCACCGTGCCTCCTAGAGCAGAAGGGGGGGCAAAAAAACAGACAGAGGCCTTGTCTCCCACCATTGAAGCACGACTGCATCGCACCGCTCCTTCACCCGCTCTCCATCAAGTCTTGATCATCTCCTCCTCGACACGTCTTCTTCCTCGACTCGACTCCTCTTTTTTCCCTCTCCTTCATTCTCGTCTGCCTCGCTTGGTCGGCTTCGGGCCTGTGCCAGCAAACCCCTCTCTCTACCACCCCAGCAATTCATTGCATGCTTTACCTGTCTCGCTCTCTCTAGTACACTGTACATCCACTACACCCACCAACCCACACCCATCCACACACATACACATCTGACCAGCGTTGGAGACACACACCACTACCCGCACCCTGGACTAGGCTGATTTGACTTGATCTTACCTTCGTTTTTCTGTCTGCCGTTCTTCGGTCGGCATGCCTCGCAGAAACCAGTTACTCATGTCTCCCAGAATTACTAGATCTACTGCCCGACAAGCAGCGAGTCTCGCGGCTTCATCGACACAATCCGCTGCCAGCGCCGATCCCGCAGCGACCGCCCCTGCACCTCCGAGCTCCAGCCCTCAAAACCCTTCGACGTCAGCCTCGCGGAAACGAAAGGCGTCAACACAAGCTACCAGCCCTACTCCTGGTGCACAGCAGCCCGCTTCCGCTTCCTCCAGACGATCGAAGCGTCAAAAGGTAGCCGACGCAGTTCCACCGCCTCAACTCCTTACTCAGCCACCCGCCCCGCTTCGGTCCAAGAGAAAGGGCAAATCTACCGCCGCCATGTCGAGCCCAGAGTAAGGAAGTCGATCTTCTTAAGCTATAGAATCTTCAAAGCTGACTGTAATTGCCAGCATTTCCGCCGATCCTGCGATTGCATCAGAGAACACGGCACCCTCGGCATCTTCAAGCCGCAAATCCAGTAGCAGCAGGAGCAAGAGGACTGCTCCGGGCGCTACAGGTAACTTCGAGTCGCCTCTGGTTATGTACTTGTGGATCATAGTACTGATTCGGCTTCCATAGATCCTTCTGTCAACACATCCAGCTCTTCTCGTAAGACGAAACGAAATGCTGCAAACAACGCGGATCCAGACACTACAATGACGGGCACAGACGATGCGGAAAAAGAGTCTCTTCCTCTCCCGCCCCCACCGCCTCCACCGGAGCATCACGACGAGGATGATAGTGACGACAACGATGATGATGACGAAGGCCAGCGATACGATGACGACGTGGACGATGATCCCTTTGGAGGGTTTGGAGGCCCAGGAGGTCCCGGTGGCCTGTCAAGTACCTTACGGGCTCTGACAGGCATGATGACGGGCATCTCGTCTCGCCTGCGAGACCTTCTCAACAGCCTGCGTCAGAAAGATGACCCTTCAGTGCAACTGATCGCCTTACAAGAGTTGTCTGAGATACTGTTGGTTTCGAATGAGGACAACCTGTCAGGTCACTTTTCCCCTGATGCTTTCGTCAAGGAACTGGTGACTCTGATGCAGCCAAACGAGATGACGGGCGAAGAGAATCCCGAAATCATGCTTCTTGCATGCCGTTGCCTCGCAAACTTGATGGAGGCGTTGCCCGCCAGTGTAGCCAACGTCGTTTACGGAGGCGCTGTCCCCGTGCTCTGCCAAAAGCTTCTCGAAATATCCTTTATCGACCTTGCCGAGCAAGCTCTTAGCACCCTCGAAAAGATTTCCGCCGAGTATCCCTCCAGCATTGTCCGAGAGGGCGGTTTGACCGCTTGTTTATCTTACTTGGATTTCTTCGCAACAAGCACACAACGAACGGCCGTAACCACGGCTGCAAATTGCTGCCGAAATATCCCAGAGGATTCCTTCCCGGTAATTCGAGATGTCATGCCCACACTACTCAACGTCTTGGGCAGCAGCGATCAGCGAGTGGTCGAAAAGGCTTCCATCTGCGTTTCTGGAATCGTTGAGAGTTTCAAATACCAGTCTGCAAAGCTGGAAGAACTCGTCAGCGTCGACCTGCTCAAGGCTGTGTTGAGGCTGCTTGTCCCAGGCACCACCAACCTAATTGGAGCCGATATCCACACGCAATTCCTGCGAGTATTGGCCTTCACGGCTCGTGCTAGCCCCCAGCTTTCGGCGGACTTGTTCAAGCTCAATATCGTCGAGACACTGTATCAAATCCTGACCGGCGTCTCCCCGCCTAGCGGCACGGAGGACGTTGCCTCTAAGCTGGACAGTGTTGTCATCATGCAGGCCTTAATCCATCGACCAAAGGAGCAGATCATCGAGACTCTCAATGTCATATGCGAATTGCTACCTAGTCTGCCTCGTAACGCGGACCCGTCGTATGGCGACTTTGTTGAGATGAACTCGACAGAACCAATCACTCCTTCATCCGCTGCAACTGGGAAAACCCGCAAGTCACCAAACGACAAGAGAATCGAGCTTCTCGACGGCTGCAAATCCGAAGTTAGGCGCTTTGCCCTCATCCTTTTCCCGACCTTGACCGACGCTTTTTCGAGCACGGTCAACCTCAACGTTCGTCAAAAGGTACTAACGGCCCAGCTGAAGATGCTTTCGAACCTCGACGAGGAGATCCTCGGAGAGGCGCTGAAGACGGTGTCGTATGCTTCTTTCCTGGCTTCAATTTTATCTCAACAGGACCATCCTTCACTCGTCATGCTCGCACTCCAAGCTACGGAACTCCTCCTCAGTCGCTTGGAGGATGTTTATCGGTATCAGTTATACCGTGAAGGTGTTATTTCGGAAATTACGAAACTAGCCACTGAGGAGCACACTCCGCCACCAGCGCCAGAGCCGGCCGGATCGCAGGAGTCCAACAACACTGATCAGCAAGCCGCGGCAGATTCTGGCGACCAATCTTCAGACAACGAAGAGTCAGAAGATGACGAGGAGCATGAGGAGTCGGACGATGAGGAGAATGAAGAGGAAAATGAGAACGAGCCTCATCCAGACGACGTCTCTGGGTCGCCAGTCAGCTCGCGCGGCTCAACCATGTCGCTAGATGGCCCTCCACAGCATTTCCTATCGGATGTTCCATCGATGCGAAGCAGAATTCGTGAGGTGGCTAAGAAGTTCTTGGAGAGCCATGAGACAGAGAAACACGGCAAGGCTATGAAGAAGAAGGCTACTAAGATTCTTTCTAATCTGTCAGATCTTGCCGAAGAGATTGAAGCTTTCTACCTCAACAGATCGGCAGGCAACCTTGCACCTGAGAATGGTGTAGAGCTTTTCAAGAAGCTAGCCTCGTCGTTCGATGCTGATGTTCTCGAAAGCGTCACGAGTGCAGAGCTTCTGGCTTCTGGGCTCGTCAGAGTGCTCTTGGATGTTTTCAGCAATCCCGATGATGATTTGGCCCGCACTGCTCAGGCAGACTTCCTGCAGGTCTTCATGGGTTACACTGTCAAGTCAAAGCCCAAGACCGCCACGGCCGATTCACCTGCGACTCCTTTTAGTGTCATGGTCCACAAACTCCAAGATTTGCTAAGTAGATCTGAGCATTTCGAGGTTATTACCGTCCATCAGAATACCTTTGATGGTAATCGCAGTAGTGCGGCGTCCATGCTAGCGAAGCAAATTCGACTCAGACTTGTTGCGGATGATGAATCTATTCCTAAGTCGTATCGAAACATCATGGTCTCAATCCACGCCATTGCCACTTTCAAGTCTCTCGATGACTACCTGAGGCCTAGAATCAGTCTTTCGGAACGGCCACGTGGCTCCTCAAGGCGGGCAGACAACCTGTCGAGGGCTCTCGCCTCTTTGGCAGGCTCTGCTGGCTTGCCACTCAGCCATGCTGCAGCTAGACTTGCAGAGCGCGCTTCGGCAGCTTCTGGGTCTAGTCCGATCCCGCCACCGCCAAGTGTGCCCACACCCAGCGGCTCGCGCTCTCTTCGCAAGACGAAGTCCAAGTCGACACCGCAGTCGGAGAGTGCAGCTACTCCTGATACCTCTTCTAGCGCAAGAGACAAGGGTGTTTTGAGGAGATCCACTCGTCGTAGTGCGGCATCCACTGCCGACAGCCCAGTGCCGTCGAGACCACCTCCGGAAGAAGACGATTTGGAGAATGCCCTTGAGTGTGCAGACGAGAAGCATCTGTCTGACGACGAAGAGATTGGTGGCAGCAGTGCCTTGGATGCTATTGTAGGCGATTTGGATGAGGATATGAGCGAGTCCCCCGGCCCCGAGCCCGGCGCTGTCAATATGGAAATCGCGGCTGGAGGAAAGGTCACCGCACGAAAGGATGATGGGACCCGAGTGCCCACGCCATCTCAAAGTTCTTTGCCCACTCGTTCTAGTGCTCTCCCGCCTCCTCCGGCTCATAGCACGCCAACGCCTGCAACTTCCTCAAGACCGATGTCCTACGCTGCAGCTATCCAAGCTGTGCCTCAGGACTGGCACATTGAGTTCACTCTCGACAACAAGGTGATTACGAGCGAGACAACGATCTACCGTGCCGTCCATACTTCGGCCGCCAACTCTGATGAGCACTTTAGCCGAAGTGTCTGGTCTGCAGTGCATCCAATCAAGTTCCGACGTGCTCCTGGTCCGCCACCGGCGGAGACCCTTTCGTTTAGTTCCAATGCCCAGGCCAACACGGAGGAGAACGGGGAAGGAAACGTTCCGGCATCTCTCGCTAAACACCCTTCGACAGCCTCAATTCTTCGCCTTCTCAATATTCTTCACGACTTGAATGCCAACATCGAAGACGTTATGGTCGAGAACAGCGAGAAGGACGCCGTCCGACTCAATGTCGAGCCCTTGTCACAGTTCGTCAACACGAAGTTGACAGCCAAACTCAATAGGCAGCTCGAGGAGCCGTTGATTGTCGCAAGCAACTGCCTGCCAAGCTGGGTAGAAGACTTAGCACGACTGTATCCTTTCCTCTTCCCCTTTGAGACTAGGCACTTGTTTTTACAATCGACCTCTTTTGGTTATGCCCGCTCTATGACTCGCTGGCAGAACGCTCACTCTGCTGACGACTCGCGGCGCGACCGCCGCGACGATAGACCATTCCTTGGTCGACTGCAGCGCCAGAAGGTACGAATTTCGAGATCCAAGATCCTGGAATCCGCCTTGAAAGTCATGGAGCTGTATGGTGCGTCTCAAAGCATTCTCGAGGTTGAATATTTTGAGGAAGTCGGAACCGGCCTGGGCCCTACACTCGAATTCTACTCGACAGTGTCGAGGGAGTTCTCCAAGAAAAAGCTCAAGTTGTGGAGAGAGATGGACTCGAACGACTCGGAGGAATATATCTCTGGAGCGAGTGGCCTCTTCCCTCGGCCATTAAGCGACGATGAAGCTACTGCGCCCAACGGTGAGCGCATCTTGCAATTGTTCAAGACCCTTGGAAAGTTTGTTGCTCGCTCAATGATCGATTCTCGCATCATTGACCTGAACTTTAATCCCACGTTCTTCCGCATTGGAGATGGTTCATCGGCACCTGGCGTGAAGCCATCGCTCGGCGCAGTCAAGGTTGTTGACCCCGGCTTGGCCAGGTCTTTGAAGACCATCAAGAAGTTCGCCGTTGCAAAGAAGGAAATCGACGAAGACCCTTCAAGGACTCCTGCCCAAAAGGTCGCCGATACCGAGGATATCGGCATTGACGGTGTCAAGTTGGACGATCTTTGCCTGGATTTCACCCTCCCTGGCTTTCCAGAGATCGAGCTGATGCCCAACGGCGGACAAGTTCGGGTCACCATCGACAATGTGGACTCTTACCTGGAACGTGTCATCGACATGACTCTCGGCAGTGGCGTTCGCCGCCAGGTTGACGCCTTCCGTCTCGGATTCTCTCAAGTCTTCCCTTACTCGGCTCTGAGCGCTTTCACTCCAGATGAGCTGGTGACTCTGTTTGGCCGGGTTGACGAGGACTGGTCTCTTGAGAGTAAGTGGTTTCTTGCAGCTTCGACCGATGATATACTGACCTACTCGCCAGCCCTCATGGATTCAATCAAGGCGGATCACGGTTACAATATGGATAGCAAAACCGTCAAGAACTTGCTCCAGACAATGAGTGAGCTATCAGCTCCTGAGCGTCGTGATTTCTTGCAATTCACCACGGGCAGCCCCAAGCTACCCATAGGAGGTATGTTTTTCCTCGGCTAACCTGAAGTAGCCTGTGCTCACACCAAGAACAGGATTCAAGAGCTTGACGCCCATGTTCACAGTCGTCTGCAAACCTAGTGAACACCCCTACACGTCTGACGACTATCTCCCCAGTGTTATGACGTGTGTAAACTATCTCAAACTCCCTGACTACACAGACATCGAATCCATGCGCAAACAACTCTCTACTGCCATCAAGGAAGGCCAGGGTGCTTTCCATCTGTCATAGGCCGCGTGTCTACCACCGACTCAGCGAACCCCAGGAAAATGAAACAGAAAAACAAACAGCGAAACTGATGGCCAATTTGGTCGTCTCAGCGAACGTCGCCACATCTACATGAGTGTGGCATGGAATACATCGACGAGCATTGCACATCGGGCGATAGTTTTCATTCAACAACAAAGACTTGATGGATGGTAACGGCCTGGGATAGGGAACACCAGTTTTGGGTGAGGTGGAATGACGGGCGGGGAACGCTTTGAAGAATAGGAAGACCCCCCACCCGACCTTGCATTGCAGGTTCGTTAGGCGTCAGGTTTGCTTTCAGCTTGTCTCCCTGCTATGGCCTCGAGGCACTTCTTGTTATTTCAGCATTGTTTCTTGGGTCCATGACCAGACTCATTTGAAGCCTGCTAGGGTGACGTATCAAGGGGGTCTAGTTGATAGAATGGTCAAAATCGATATGAGAGAACGCTGTTGCGTGTTGCGCCCTGAGGTCTCGGTGAAATGTGGGTTTTTAATTCAGGACTGCCAGTATGACCGCAGTGTTCCTTCTACGAGGCACGCTGTGTCGTGTCATCTTGCTAATCAATTATTCTAAGGGCATCATGCTGCAATTGTCATATGACGCGTGGTCTACCTGGCGTAAAGGTTCTCTCTCATTTCATCACAGGAATCTAATGTCCCCTATTTGCGCGCAATACAAAGGCTTTGCTTTGAGCCCTCCGCTGGGGTACCAAGAACCTCTCTTGGATCCTGTCGCCTTCGAAAATTCCCGGCCTTCTTGCCGCCTATAGAAATAACATGACAAAAAACAACATGGCTCCCACTTCCCCCCTGACCTGCTCTCCTCCAAACTCTTGCTATTCCCCATCCCCTACGCCACGAGGTGAGGTATCTAGGGAAGGGGGAAAAGGAAGTTTGAAGCAAGCAGTGACGGGTACACGTTACACAAGCCCCAGTCTCCTTCAGTCACGCCATGCTTCCATGCTTCCTACGCTTCAGGTCAGGAAAACAACTCAAACAAAATGGGGGTTTTTTGGTGGAAAAGAATCAATCCGAAGAAAGCCACTGCGTCTGGCTCGGTTTTTCTTTTCCTTTGGCAGCGACACGAAATATCATCAAAATGTTCCAGCTTTCAGGCCAAGCAGCATATGCCTCTAGCGAAAGCCTGACTTGACCTCGGCACGTGGCCACTCAAAGAGGACATCTCCGCTGTAGACGTCGGCGGTGATGCGGCTGATGCGCAGCTCCACCTCGCCGTAAAAGCGTTCGCACTCGCGGAGCACCTTGATCACGAGCTTCTGGCTGAGAGCAGGGTCGTCCGCGTCGCCAAAGTGCTTCTCAACGCGCTTGCGCAGCGTCTCGATACCCTTGCGGACCTCACGCGAGTCGTACGTCGCCAACACCTTGTGGAAAGTGGCCTTGGAGTTGGACGGCTGCGAGGCGATGCTCGAGCCGGGTTTGCCCGACTGTAGCTGGCCTTCGATGTTCTCAACGTACTCGAGGAGCTTGCCCAGGGGGCGCCGCATTACTGCGTTCAAGTACAGGCTCATGTGCTCGTTCAGCTCGCCTGTCGCAGCCTCGCGCCAGTCGTCGAGGACATTGAGGCCGTGCGTGTTGACTTCCTCGAGGAAGTGGTTCATGTTCTCGATGAGCAAGATATGGAAGTTGAGCGCCTCCTTGTCTTCTGGATCCGCACCCGCCGCACCGACGCTGACTGCCGGGTTCTCACGAGCAATGATCTTGAGCGAGTCGAACATGGACTTGAGGATGCGGTCATACTCGCGGTCGACAGTCTTACGCACAGCCAGGTTCGGGTCGATACCCGATAGGATGTTTTCCACGGCGTTGGAGAACTGCGGAAAGACGCGAATGAACGAAATAACGCCCTTGCGCTTATTAATCTTCACCTTAGTTTCCTCGATGGCGCGGATTTGCTCGTCGACGAACTTCTTGAAACGGGACTCCAGGACATCGTGGAGCTTCTGGAGCAGTGCGTTGAGAAAGTCTTGATTGGACTGTTGGATGTCTACCAGGTTCCGCTCAAGAACAGCCAGGACACCAGCACCTTGTCTGAAGCATTTGGTTAGTACATTTTGAGGATGAAAGGGGAGTCGCATCAACTTACAAAGGATCGGCTTGGATGACCCATTCAATGAGCCTGGCGATCTCTGTTTCGAGGGAAATGAAAATCACCTCCATACCCTTGGTGACTCGTCGAGCAAGATCGCGGTCAGGCTCCATCAGGCGATGGCGACGCAAGTCGCCACCTCTCCGTTCTGACGGTCTGCTTGCTGCGACCAGGTCGGGGAAGTCGGATTGCTCCAAAGTGGTGGCATGGAAGAAGTCAATAATGAAATTCTGCTCCATCTCAACCAATGGTAAAAGGTCGTCCAACACCTGGCCAAATACCTCGTAAGGGAGGCTTCGGTTCTCGCTCGGCTCTTTCAAATTAGTCCTGCTGCTGGTGTCGATAGGCGAACGCAGACTCTTGGCCAATGTTTGACTACGCTTGACAGTGAGCTTCCTGACAGTGGTCGCTTTGCCTTCCTGTTGCTTCTCGACTTCAAATGTGAACAGGAGCTCGGACGTTTCTTCAGCGGTCATCTTGCGCGCATTGCGCTTCCATGCCTCCAAGACCTGGCGAAATTCGTTCTTGTAGACCGGTTGACTCTTGTCTTGGTAGACCTGGATCATGCGATCCCAGTTGGCGAGATCGACGTCTTTGGCGTATTTGATTAAGGGACTGTACTTCCACAACATGTCGCGACCGGTGTCGTGGTGGCGAGAGTCCACCTTTCTGGAAAGAGCTTCGCGAAGTGCTCTGTTGACTTCGTTATAGGCCACATCGAATTGTTGAGCCATGTAACCGACCAACCGCCGTGAAAAGAAAGCGCTTTCCTGTCGGTACATCTCCTTCTTCTCCTGTACAATTCTCATTTTACCATAGTCAGTGTTATCGAGACCCACGGCTTGATCAACTCCTCCGCCAAGATCTTCGCTCTTTCGCGGTTCGCCCCCTAGTAATGTGGGATCAATCTTGATCATAGCCTTGTAGAGAGTAACCAGAGACATCTCGATATCTTCGAGACCGTTAAGATCCTCAAGGGGTGCCGCTCTCAAAGCGTTGAGGTCAGCAGAGGTAATAGTAGTTGTCTCAAGGAGAGATTCGAGCTCTTTTTTGAGCAACTTCTGATTAGCAGTCTGCACTTGCAGACCCTGGCCTTGGGCCTCAATATACGCGATATCATCAGAAAGAGTCTGCTTCAGGTCAACAGAATTCTCTGAAAGTTTACAAGGCAACCTACCGAAAGCTCAACGCTGTACAGAGTCAGAAGGTTCTCCATTTCTTCACACTCAGCGACTGCCAGATCGATGCCGCGTTTGATAGCCTCGACACGATCATCCTCTTCCTGGAATCGGGCAAGCCAGCCACCTGCTTGTGCTTTGTTGAGCTCTCGCTCGAGGTCTGTCCTCATCTCGTCCACATTGCGAGATCTCATTTGCTCGCCAGGGACCCAGCCAAAGTAGTCGAGCCACTTTGTGAATTCGCCGCCCTTGTTATCCAAGACTGTGTGATCAATGCCAAGTGATGCAAGATACTTGGCGTCATTACCGGCAACTATCGATTTGCTGTTCTCCTCTTTGGCGGCTGGTTCTTCTGGTTTCTTAACAGTAATGACTTCCTGGGTCGAAGGTTGCAGACTCGTTGGTCGATCAGAGTTAGGCACAGTGACCTTGACCTCAGGCACGCCAGATGTGCGTTTGGGAGGTTCTACAGGTGGAGCAGTTTCTTCGACTGCAGGATCTGGAGATGTGACTTTGGGGCCGTCAGAAGAGGCTGGTCGAGGCGGAGGTTGAAAGACTGTTGTGATTCCCTCAGCGGGTTCAGTGCTCTTTGTTGCCAGTTGTCGAAGTCTTTCACCCGCACCACCAGGCCGAGGCTTGAAAGCTGAGGCGGCGGAGGCAGCCTTCCAGAGCACACCAGCAAGGTCGTTCTTGGATTTCTTCGCTTTGATCATCGGTCCCAAACCGGGCCGGTTCTCATCTTCTTTTTCCGCAGACGCCTCAGGCTCAGGGGTAGGATCGGCAGCTGGAGGCTCCTCGGGGATGGTTTCCTCGACCGCAGCTATAGGTGCCGAAGGAGGGGCTGGAGGCGGAGTCGGTGCGATGGGAGAAACAGGCGCAGGAGGCACGGGAATTTCAGGCGGTGGAGGCTGTCTTGTGGGCGTGGCCCCATTTCGCGTCGGGGTTCTGAGTGCAAGAGGAACATCTGGTGCACCTGGGTCTCCAGGTGTGAGGGGTGTGACTGGTCGATTGTCCCTGTAGGAACCTGCGTCTGACCTTTGCGAAAGGGAGTTTTTCCTGGCTGTGCTCCTTGGAGGAGGGGCAACTTGATCTCGTCGCATACCCGGGCTCACTAACGGCGCAGGAACCAGGTCTCTGTCGTTGAAGCCTTGTCCCTGTGGCCTTGCCGGGTCCATCGGTGGTCTCTTCCTCTCCGGTGGTCTACCTCCCTCTTCGGAGATTGGTGGAGGTGGTCCCAGTCCAGGCTCTTGTATTGGCTCACCGAATCTACCTAAGGCCCCAGGCCCAGGCATGCCATTTCGTGAGCGTGGCGGCATGCTGCCCGTATCGTCGCTTCTGCCTCCCAGGGAAGGCGAGAAGGATTCCTGGCTCTTGTTTCCAAATCTTCTCAGCGTAGGGGGATCTTGTGAGAATGAAGAAGCCATGCTTCCCGCTGGTGAACTATTGGCCATTCCATTGAGAGGTGGTGGTCGGCGCGGGCCTGGCGGGCCAGGCGAGGGAGTGCCATAGTTTGAGGGCGCATTCGGAGCGCCGAGGCTGGTCTGACTAGTAGCAGCATCGGGCATCGCAGGAGGTCTGAAGGCAGCCTGTGCGGGCGGTGGTGGTCGTCGTTCGTTTCTTAGGATTTGGGCCATCTCGGCCTGGTCGAAGCCCGATAACTCGGGGACCTTACCTCCCGTATATTTGCCATAGATCTTAACCAGGCTGGCGATGAAGAACTTCTTTTCCTTGTCCGACTGCGCATTCCAGAAATACGGCTTGCCGATGGTGACGATGAAGCCGGTATCACCGGCCCATTCGCGGAAGGTCGGGTTGGCCGGCGGCCCTGTGAAGGACTCTATGGCGGATAGGTCATCGAGGTTCCAAGTCTTTCCAATTGAGAAGGAGCCGTTGGCGTTCTCTTTTGTCTTGTGCATACGCACTCGGCCACTTTTTCGCACTGCAACGACAATGACGCGGGGTTTCTGTGATTCGGGGGTTCGTGCTTGAGGCGGCGGGGGAGAGGTCGGATGGGAGGAGTACTCGGTAATTCGAATGTGGGTGATGTATGTCTCGAGCACTATCGACGGGAGCAAGCAAGGGTCAGTACTATTTGTAGACGAGGTAGACCTTTTTGTACGAGAAAATCCAGCGACATTGGGATTCAACGCACACGATCCGTCTACATCCTTCTTGATGAAGCAGCTCTCGATGATGCGCCGCTTCTCATCCTCGAATCGTTGGGCCCTGTTGTCCATGGCTGCTCGGTTGGGCGGTCCCGTCGCAGTGGAATGGAGCAATCATGAGGGTGTTCGCAGTGCAGCAGAAGGAACCATTTACATGGTCGTCGCGCAATCGGGGTCGGGACGGCGTCGTGGCGCTGCGATGGGGGGAAAAGGCGCTCGAAAGGGAGTTGAATGAGGTTGAGGTGGGAATATCGAGATCGTGTCGTGATGCAAGCCAGAAGGGGAGCGGGCGGACGTGTGCTGGAGTCTGTCTGTCCTTGGGGGTAGCTTGCTGCCAGGGCAGCCTTTGGCCCCGCCGGGTGATGGGGGTCGGAAGTATCTCAACCCTCGAGTCTGGGGCTCCTGTTAGCGCGCTCTGACAGCAATCTTGGTAGCGCTGCCACCACAAGACCAGTGTGGCTGTTGAGGTTCCGGCCGAAATCTATCAATTTCTGTCGCTTTTGAGGTTCAACGCCTTGCTCAATTTTCAACCTCATTTTTGTATCAAGGCCGTCGGTTCTCGTCTTTTAGAACATTCGATGTTGAGCATGTCTATCATCTCGGTCCCGCATCGACTCCGCGGTACATCAACGGTACCTGCCCGAATGCCTGTCAATCTGCTACCTGACGGGAACTTGCAGCGACATACTTCCCTGTGCTAAGCAATCGGGTGCTGAGAAATGATCTGGGAGGGATTAGGTGGCTCCTTCCTCCCAATGCCACAACGCTAACTCCGTACCAAGGTACCTGACTACGTGTATCCGTAAGGTGGTGGAATGTACCGCCACCGATTAACTTCTGCTGTCCCGCAATCGCCTGGCTCGTGTACGGCTGGCGTGCAGCTCAGTGCCTCTTTGAACACCTCATCCCTCTTCTTGCGAAAGTTGCCGTGCAGACAACCGCCTTTTTAACGATAATTCAACCTCATACGAACAGTCATTCTTGTATGAGGATACGATTTCTGTATATTCGTTTTACTTGTCTCCGTCTATGCACTGAACCGATATCAGACGCATCATCCGTCAAGGTTGCCTTCAGAGAGCTCGGGCGCCCGTCGTCATGCCTCCCACTCGTACATGTTTCAAGCTGCCCTTGCCCATGAATGAGATAGCCCCCTCGATACGCCCATCACTGCAACATCCGAGGTTCCGATGCCGTCTCTGTCTCTCTTCTTCTGCCGACGCATTCGGGGACTTCTGACATTGAACTTTGTGACCCCTTGAACAGCCATGTTTTGCCCAACTCGAAAGACTCGATCGGGTGTTTTGGCCGATTCCTCGTCGACTTTTACTTCGCTTCGCCACTAGTACGCATGCAGTGCTTGGACAGCATCTTCAGATGGCCGGTGAAGCTTTCATGAACAACAACTCACTTTGGGTGTGTGGACCGTGCGGGCGACATCAGATGGTCGCCTTCAACCTCCGACTAGGAAGACACAAATGCGTACCCCAGGAAGGGTTCTATACTGGATACCGAACTTGTAATGTAATGCGACGACAGTCCACGGTTCCCAGCTCGAGAGCAAGGGTGTAATCTTAGTGAATGATCGAATCAAAACTGTTGTACCAACAACCTACCAAAGGAGACTTTTGCTGGGTTGAATCACAGGCCATCAGATATCCGCATGCCATGATCTTAGCCTTTTGGCTCATAAAGCAAGTCAGCTTGCCTGTTGATTAAGATGCTTAAGTGGAACCACAATAGAAGCATCCTCCCCTGACCTTACAACAGCACTCGAGTCCCATGGGCACCAGAGCGAAACCGATGTCAACAAATGCCACTCATGTGTAAACTTGAGAATGAACTATTGGTCGAATGCACCATAACCGATCTTGACTCAGACAACGATCCAACCTTCATGCTTCTACACAGTTTATAGAGCTTCTCCATACTCAGTTCGTCAGGACGACCGACAGCTTGAGTAGACCTTCTTACTCGCGGCCCTCTCAGAATCTCTACTCAGGTACTTTGCCTAAAGAATGACAATCATTACAAGTTGGTGTTAATATTGCCTGTACTAATGGGACTATTCCTAAGGCAGTAACTTTCTCTGTCAAGACGACATTCACATTGGTAGCTCTTGACATCCTAAGACTGACACTTTGCTTCCGTTCATAATTTGCTCTTTCTTTCCCAGGACAGCGAGTGAAAGAGGGGTGAAATTCGGTGTGACACGCTATTCATGGATGAGTGCGCGAGGCGCTTGATACGCCTGTGTGATTACATCATCAGTAGCTGGTGCGACTATACTTTCAGGGAACACAAACTGTATTAATGAAATGGCATTCTACAATTGCTTCAGTTATCTACTCATCTGATCAACTTCTGCCCACGGTGGCTTTCTTATTCTTCACACAACATCAAGGTGAACATTGCAAACGAGGCGTTGCCCGGATGGTAGTCTGGACTCACCCTAGATACTTTACCCTCCGGTTCTTAAGCAATTTGAGACGGCAAAGACAGACATGTTTACGCGATAACCTTATTCGCATAAGGGCTTCGAGCAACGTCCTTAGTGTTACCTCTGAGGCGTCGAAACTGACACGGCCTTAACGCTTCGGTTTTCAACCAACTGAGAAGGCGTGGAAAGAAAATCAGACGTGTGCAAACCTCACATGACTGGGTGGTGCTAGTCCGGTGAACGAAGAATCTATCACGCCACAAGAATGCCGTCTTGCAAATCTCGGTCAGTCCGATTTCAACCGCTGTCCTCTTGCAGATTACATGAACATGATGTTTTGGTGCGAAACTCATCGTGTTCTTACGTTCAAAATCTTGATTCCAGGACCTCTGGGGTTTATAATCCTCCAAACACGGCTAGGCTCTACCTGTCACTTTCTTCTTGAGGAACCCAGCAGGCTTGTCCAAATCACGGTGCATACATCCTGAGCACTCTTCTGCACAAACTACTAAATACCCCTCTTTGGACTGGAACGAGCACCGTGTCAGAGTCAGGAACGTCTTGGGAATATCTAACCACGCTATTTTCTTCAGTATTTGCCCTTCTCAAAACTAATGGAACAAGCTTGAACGCTCACTTTCTGTCTTGTATCATCAGGATTGTCTAAGATTCATCTGTACTCAGAGACGAAGTCACAGTGAACCTTCTCGAGTGTGGGAATCTTTCAGAGTCTGCGCGCCACCGAGACGTGGACGGTTCTATGCTTTACATTTAACACAGTAGCTCATCATAAGAGACTTGAAACGATATCCAGAAAAAAGTTATTGGTAGATGGACGGGGACTATGTTATGAAGACTCGTGATCGCATGGTAGCACTGAATCAGGGCAATTTCGCACGTGATCTTTGCAAAGGAATATCTCGACGTTGCTTCACCCCATCCTTTCCGGTTCTCATGTGTGATATCGCCTCTTCGGATTAGACAAACTTCCATATGTAATTACACAAATATGTTTGGGTAGTTCAGACTGCGCGAAAGCCTCGGGGAGCAGGAGATAGAGGACCCGAAAAAGCGATGAAGTCGCAACTTAGGTAGGCCAGTGAGCCGTCATACTCCTCGTAGTATCAAGTACAGAAAAACTTCGCATGCCACGTCCTCGGCTGTGTTTATTTGTATATCGAAGCCTAACACAAGTCACTGCTTAGCCAAGCATAGTTCGCAGATTTGAAGGGTCCTGAACCCATGAACCAACCTATGGACGACTATCGATTATAAAAAGAAACTTGTTACAGCAGATCACTGCAAATATTGTACACATTATTATCCTTGATATTGTCTTACAGCAAAACATCTTGAGTAAGGATGGAAGCCAATACGCCTATCCGTATGGAGCTGTAGCAACGCCGACTGATTCATCATCCTCAAGCTCGACAAAACCATCGTAATCGTAACTGTATCGTCCAAGGATATCGCGGTGGAATTGATGGGACGTGTCTGTGTCAAGCCTTTGAATGCTCAGCGTTTCTGCGTATTCTTATGGCTTCTTGATCTCGTCTTAAGCTGGTCCGAGATCATCCTAAGCTGACTCTAACTTCTCCTTAAGATCCTCTGCCTTTGCGTTGGCCATTCTCGTTTCTTCTTTAGCTGACTCCCCCAAAAAAGTTTGAGCGCCTACTAAGCGTAATCCGCTCGTTGGCTGTCACTCCACCCGGGGGTATTTGCCTCTGAAAAGAACCTGTGAGGAACATACTAGTGACTATTATGCTTCATGCACCTGGTATTTTCATTCTCGAGTAGTGTGACATTCTACTCTTCACACTAGTCCTCCGAAACGTATAGATCCGCCAGTCTAGCATGCCCACAAACGCTAAAACAGATGTCGGCCGCCTTCAATCCGGTGGCTATGATGTGCCTGAGCTCAACATTGCGGATGAGGTTGCGAGATCGAGAAGTCCCGACGACCTGTGCTTGCTTCAGCCAAGTCGTCATGAAAGTGGCCAAAGCAACCATCATTATGTGACTTAAGCCTACAGCAATCAAAGCAAGATGGTTTATTTCACGCAGTTTACGAAATAAATAATGACATGTACTATAGCATGCCGCAGCGTTGGTGAGCGTGAAGTCTAAGGAGACCGGCGCGTCATACACCATCAGCAGGACTGAGCCCACCACGTTTGTCAACTTCACCCACTGAATCAGGTCAAGTCACGGAAAATCAAGAAGCCGCCATCGAGTCTACCAGCCAATCGAGTCCCGAAAATTCCATCAAACGATCCAAGCATGGAGCTCACGAGACCTACAGAACATGGTCATCCGTCTGGAGTAGGCAAAGTAACCCTGGCTTATCAAGTGGCCACCGAAACAACTCGATTCAGCCTACCAGAGTAATCGCTATTCAGACAGCCACTTATCGTCAACAGAGGGTAGGAGAGTTGTTGAGTCAAAGATTGTAAACCAAGAAAGCCATTGCTTCCTCGAAGACTTTTGTACCTACACAACTCTCATCTATCCAAACTTGTATCAAGACCCACCGCACACACGCATTCGAACTGTGCAAGCTCGAACTAGATGAACGGCACCATCGGGCTCAAGCATACATAAGCACTCTTTTCATACAGCACAACGCCCCGCCGCCTTCTCACGTCGTCAAGGTAGCCCTCCTAAGCGCACTCCCCCTCCACCGATGGCTCGGCATCGAGAACGGAGACACGGCCGAGATGGATGGATATATATATATATATATCTCTCACGGAGTGGGTAGCCCATGCACATCATCAAAACCATCCACTGTCATTCTCTGGGTCGCTCTCCTACACAGCCCCCAAGCACCCCAGAGACGCAATCTAAAGTCAAGCAAGACATCATTACCTGCCGGCAGCGGCTCCCTACCCCTCTAACGGCGCCTGCGGCCTGCCTCCCAGATAAGCGGCTTCAATTATGGGGGTTCCTGTCGAGCCAGGATACACGTTCCTTTCGAGGCTCTTGCCCCTCTCTTCCCACCCGTTCACGTCGGCAAATGCTTGTTTCGGGTTCCTATTGAGGAAAAGTCGAGATGAGAAGAAAAACCCAAAAGAGGTAGAATTTGACGCCGAAGATGGAAGGGGGCAAGGATCCGCGCCTCGAGCCTCATCATTGATCACGCCCCATACCCGACAACGAGGTTGACAGCGGAGATCGGTCCGATAAATTAAAACAACAAGAAAGAAACCCCTCCTCGAGTCCTCCCACTGTCCCACGAGATGAAGACTTTCCCCCATTTTCTATTTCCGTCCTACTCTGAACATACCGGCGAGAAGAGACGGGCCGCCGGGGGGGGCGGGGGGGGGGGGTGCGGCCCGGGCGCCGTGGTGCCCGAAAAAGTAAAGTATCAGACCCCCCGGCAACACAAATCACCCTTACAGAAGCTCCCCCAACCCCCCAAACGGCCCCCCGCCCCCGGCACAAAACCCCCCCCCCATCGCAGAGGCCACACTTCTCATCGTCCCAAAAAGAGCAAAAACACATATTACTCATACAATTCGCACACCCCCCCGTGTAAACGAAATCACCATATCCGAGCACACCCCACACCCGCAAACGGCCCTCGGATCCCGGCAGATAGCCCCTCCCCGATGACGATGACCCGGATCTTCATGTGGCCAAGATGAGTTAAGCCATATATTATCCGTACATTGACCCAATCTGCCCTGGCACTGGAGAAAAACGGGTTGTGCTGGCCATTATGTCCAAGAAGAGAGGTTGTTGATAAGAGGCTTTTGCACAACTCCACGCCCCACATCACCAACCTCGGAAGCCCCCAACCAAGCCTGGAGACTTCATTCCAAAGAGAACCAGGTCTCTGCGAAACCATAACCAGGAAACCGGTTTCTGTATCCGTACCCGTCGTGACCTCCGAAAAGCACCCCCCCCACCCCCCCTTTCCCCAAGGCTCAGAGCCCACCAATATTTCAGGACACAGCCACACCGAATCTTATCACTGACGCATCTCGAGGCAAGGAGGAGAGGGGAGGGGGTAAAATGAAGTTGCTTTACGCTTCTGGGTCACATTCCCTTGAGTTTGTGACACTTAGAACCCCTCCCCAGGCGGGAACACGGAAGACGAGGAGAGGAAATCAATAACCCACCGTATTGCCAACCCATAATGTGATCAGTGCGACGGTAACACCAAGCAATTTTGACAGGACCCAGAAGGCAGCTCGCTTCCCCGGGGAGAGGGGTCCAACTCTCAAGGCTTGGGGATTCGAATGTCAAGCCGGAATTAAAAAGCTTTGTGGGTTACTAGGTATGTCGGGCATTCATAGACCCTTCTCGTCGGGCCCGAAGAACCTTGTAGCAATCGGCTTGTCTTGGGTTAGGTGAATCTCCGGCCGAGTCCCTTAGGAACCCCTCTCTCCCGGAGCCCGGTCATCAAATACGAGCCCGTGAGTTATGAACGAATAAAGGCGGTGACGAACAAGTTCCTGTGTCATCCGACAGGTTATTTTGTACTAAACACCAAAAAAAAAGTTTGCCCAAAAGACTACGCCGGGCCACGCTCTGTATGCGTTGTATATGCCTCGGGAGATGCAACCATGTAAATGTAAGCTTATACAATGGGCTTTCGCCCGGGAAAACAAGCTGGGCATGAACTGAAAGGCCACAGCTTTTTTATTTTTGCCCTCCAGCCCGAATGTGAAAATCCACCCATCCAACCTCATTGCAATGGATTTCTCAATCCATATACATTGGATCACCTCTCACCTGTGACATGGCCATTCCCATATCCCCGCCATGCATGCTCTGCATCGTAGCCTGCATATTCGGCATTGACCGGCTCATATTGATTGCACCCCGATTCGCATTTGGATTCCCGTTCTGCATCATGAACCGCGCATCACTAGCACCCCTCTGCTGTACCTGCCTCGTCCGTGGCACCTCGAGGGTGACTTGTCGTTGAATCGGCTGCTGGGGCATGGGTTTCGTAGTAGGTGTGTTCATTACGGCAAAACTGTCATCATCCTCCATCTCTGCATCGGCGTCGGCGTCGGCATCCCCATCTGCATCGGCATCTTGGTCGCTTGCATCGTCAATCGAAGGCGGACCTGTTGAAGCACCTGGGTCGCTATGGCCAGTGGTGCTCGTTGTCGACTGTCGATGCTCGGGGCTTGGGAACTGTGACACTTGCTGTTGCTGCATCTGCTGTTGTTGCGTCGCTTGCACCTGTTGGTGTTGTTGCTGTTGCTGCCCTTGTTGCTGGTTCTGTTGTTGTTGTTGTTGCTGCTGCTGCTGTTGTTGAGGAGTCGGCGTCGGCGTCGGCGTGCCGCTGTTTGCTTGGTCTAATGCCCTCTGAGCATTCATGCCCGTGTTGGCGACACGGTTCATGCTGATAACCGTCTTCCACCTTTCGATTGCCCGTATCACAATGTCATTTAAATCCAACTGGCGGTCCTCCAATCGCAGTCCGACATGACGACCACCGCTCTTTATACCCGCCTCCAAAACGTGAGTGAGAAGCTGCCGCTCCAGGGGCACCGTGGCCGGAGAGAATAGCTTGAATTCTCGCGGTTGTTGAAGACGGTTGAGCTGGTCGATCTGAGACTTCAGGTTAGAGTTCTCCTGCTGTAGCCTATGTTGGTCATCCTTCATCTTATCGATCTCGGTTTGCTTCCTGCCAACGCTTCTTGCCATTTCCAAGAGCCACAGCTCGTTTCGCCGCTGAATAGGTAGGGAAGTCCAAACCGCAAAAGCTGACACCAAATGCTCGTTCACCTGTTTTTCGAGATTCTCCGCTGACTTCTCGGCTTTCTTTACCGCATCGCGGGTGTCTCTGATTGGCTGCTCCCGAGGAGGATATGTGAGGTCCTCCATTGCGGCTGTAGTAGCAGTTGCGCAAGTAATCTTCCAATTACTGAACTCTTCTTGGAAAAAAGCTCTCAGTGCATCGTACTCTCTTTGACCAGGTGATTGGACGGACCAAGAGGTGGAGGTGGGATGTTGAGTAGAAGAGAAGAGGGTGGGCGGTGAAGCGAGGCATTGCAAGGTTAAAGCAGGAAAGTCGAGGGCCAGAGGGTCAAAGTCAAAAGGCATCGAGTTGTTGTCGATATTTTGCCTGAGGTAGCTAGGGTTAGCCATCATGAATTTCTCCCCCCTTCTTTTGCGTTTGTCACATAGCAGAGAAACTTACTTGGCCGCCCTCCATGAGCTTAAAAGCTCTCTTAATGCGAGCTCTGCCGCGCGAGCAGTATCCATAGCGTCTGCAAGCTTGTGCTTGACGTCGAACTGCGCCTTTTGCATGATTTGCTTGCTCACTTGTCTTGGCCGTTTCCCTGCATTCTGACTGCCTTCGCCATCGGTGGAGGTAGCGACTTCGGCATTTTTGGCGGGGATGTTATTTATGACGCCCGTGGCTTCCCATGAGGGGGTCCAAGGATATTTGCTCAGCGTCGAGTCCACAGCATACTGGCCGTCCTTTGGCAGAGCCGGGGACTTGTGGGACTCGTTACTATCTGGCGCAGCATCTCGCTTGGATGCGGCTGGTCTAGGTGTGGTGGCTGGAGTTGAGGCGTTTCTCCCGCCTAACGATCCCCTAGGTTGTCTGCGCGTGATGCTTCCTCGCAGACGCTTGATTGCGTCAACGTCGTGGATTCCATCTGGCGGCTTGGGGTTCTTTTCCTTGATGTAGAGATCGAGATGTCGACCGAGAGAGGAGGAGGTGAAGGCCTGGCCACAGTAGGGGCAATTCTTGTCTTTGGGGGCTCCCAGTTTCTGTTGGCTCGAGTCGGCATTGCTCGCGGTTTCCGCCATTTTGGCTCGGGGTGGTGGATGTAAAGAGACGGGTGGGTAACGAGTGTTTCGAAAGGTTTATCGACGGTAGGGGCGAATTCGAGTTCGGTGCGGTGCGGTGCGGTGCTACAAGGCTTCTCTTGCGTGAATAGACAGTTGCAGCTGCTCCAGGGGAGCTATGTAATCGAGGGTCATATGTAGATGGACCGGGTAGAGAGCGGTCGAAGTAGGAGCCAGCGAATTTCAGAGTAGACAGATAAGGGAAGGAAAGGTAACGAGTGGTGTAATGGACAGAGCAATTGGATATGCAAAGAGAGAGGTGAAAAAAGAGGCAATCAAAAAAAGATGGACAAGATGCTGAAGAGCTAAACGAGTGTGCGAAGAGAAGGAGGTCGGTGGGAGATGTCGAGAAGTAGCTGCTACCCTTGTACGAACAGAGCAGAACTGAACGCAAGCCAATCCTTGTGACGAGGAAACGTGAAGCGGCCGTTCGCGGAGTCGGATATGGACAGATTCGGGGTCGGTTTGACAAGTGGGCGAGAGGTAGCGAGGCGGGTTGACGAGGAGGGAAAAAAGTACGATGCCGGGTATTAAGCAAGTAGTAAAATCTTTTTCCGGACTGTCTCTCTCACACTCGATCTCTCTCGGTATCTCTTTTCGAGCAGACTCTCAATTCATCCGTGGACTCTCTCAATCTCTCGACCTCTGTGCAAAAAAAGAGACGAAGAGGGGGTGGGTGGGAAAAGGGCAAAGACGGGAGGTGGAAGTAAAGTACAGAAGAGTAAGGGGAAGTTGCAAAAATGTCACCCGGGATTTAATTATTGCAGTTTTTTTAATAAAGCAGGCGGGCAGGGGTAGCACCACCGACCCGCGCCAGAAAAGGACGACGAGGTGGGAGCTTTGGCGCACCCTACTGCACCCCCCCATCTCTCTACCCACACTAACCATCCCTCATCCCTCATCCCTCACTCATCCTATCCGGGCCATCCCAATCCAATCCAATCCTGTCCTGTCCTGCCCGCTTCCCCCAGATTGCCGCCGCTGTGCAGGTGCAACGCGCGCAAGCACAGACGGAGCCAAGGACGGCCCAGATCAAGCCCCCTTCACAAGTCCACGGGCTCAAGTGTTCAGGGCCCTACGGTGGTCCCACCTCTGCGCCGATGCCTTTTTTTTTTTTGTTTAATTTATATCCACGGATGCCTTTTAATAGCCATACCACCCACCGTATTAGGACAACCTAGCATTAGTGGAATAATGACTTGGTGAGCTACCTTAGGTAATGACGCCTCACGAAGCTTGCTGCGTCAGGGAGACGAGCCGTGGGGTCCCATCAGCCAACGGGGAGAGGAAACGTATACCTGCATCTCCTCTCGAGGCCAATTGTAAGTCCAAGGTACTATACTATGCCGTACATGACAGACTGTCCAGGACACAGATCCAGCGCATCGTAATCAGCCGCTTCGGGGAAGAGACAGAGAGGGCTCGAGCTACGGATACCTTACTATAGTAAGGGAGCTGTCCAGAACGCCTTACCTTAACCCTACACCGACAGCACAACCTCATTCTCATCCATTGGATCTCGAGGAACTCTGTCTTTCGGGGTGGCATGGCCGAAATTTTCACCCAGAGTTTGAGTTCAACCGAAAATCCCTCCTCCACTGAGCAACTCCGTCTCCCAATAATCCAACGACGCGCTCTTGTTGGTTCCAGGTGTCCACCAACTCCTCAGCTCGACATCTCCCCGGGGAGCCAATCAAGGCTCTCCTAAATCTACCAAGCACGCGACGTATTCAATTGGGATCCAAAGCTAGACCTCAAATATAAAGGCGCCTTGAGCCGCCATCATTCCACTATCTGGCTCTCTCACATGTCCCGTTGTTTGTTCTCTGATTAGTGCTGATCTGGCCTGCGGAAAGGAGAGGGACAGCCCGGCACCGCCCTGTGCATCAATGCTACTGACTGGTCTAGCGCTGTCGGGAACGGGGGTGTATGGGGTGAACTTTTGCCTCGACCAAGCTTGCCTGTCTCTTCCACGCCGCCTCTTGTCTTGTCTTCTGCCCCTCGGGTCCCGATCTGAACCAACCACGGTACCACCCATACCGACGACCCTTCAGCAATTGAGGAAATAATTCTTCAACCCTGCCGAGCTGCCTCATTGAGCCCAAATTACGTTGGGCAGCCTGGCCTCTCTGACTCGAGCCCACCTCAAGGGCCCTCAGCGGGTTTGCGGCTTGCCATTGCGAAAGAGCTCCAGAGTCCAGAAGATATAGGCTTGACAGCCGTCACCGGTTGCAGCTGAGGGCATGACCCAATGGAATCCTCAGGACCACTGTTCAATGACACGCAAAGATGCCCAAAGCCAATATTTCATCTGGCCCAGTGGTCTCGCTGCATTCTCCAGACACCACCTTTGAACTCGCCTCACCGCGTTGAACAACTCCTGGCCAGACTGTTCGACCGACCGGGGCGCGGGTTGGCATGCCCGGTTCCTTTGTTTAGGCTCCTGGGGTCCCACTGGCTTGTGTCCGATCCATTTCTCAGGGGGTTCCCGGGAGATCATCCAGGGGAGCCGGTGAAGGACCTGGTGCCAACGGCGCCGACAGACCTGACGGATTTCGTCTCATGAACATTGCCCGCGCAGTACCTATACATACTGTAAAGAGTGGTTGTCCCTTATAAGCTTTAGACAACGTCGGCAAGATTTTGTTTCGACGAGAGACGGCAGGATTCCACGCGTAAACAAGGCCGTGTTCTGCCGTATGTTTGGCCTTGGCTCTTGTTCCCCTCCGCTCCGTGTGTTTGACCCGGGGATACCATCCGGTGTAAAGGACCCCGTTTTCCTGCATCTAATAATGGGGTTGGCATCTGCAGGACGCGACGCAAGGACAGATAATCGCGTTTAGGCCACTCATCCTCGAGCCTGCGGCGGCGGCGCTTCCTATCGCCCGCTGGTGCTGGATTTGCTGACGGTCCCGGTCCCGGTTGTCCCCTGGAGGCTGGTCGTCTAGTGTAGCCTCCCGCAGCCGCAGCATCTTGGGTCAACCTTGTCTGTCTGGGACCGTCTTGTACAGGCTCCATCAAGCTCACCAAGGAGGGGAGGTCGATTCGACTGTACGAATACACCAGTGACCAACCCACCTTAGCAGCCTGCAGGACGCCGATAATTTCCCGCCGCCTCTGGCACGGCAGCTGAAGCTGACACCCAGTGTCACGGCGTGTTTGGCCCTGATCCAGAGCAGGAGACACACGCTAGCCCGTCCTCTGACCTTAAAATGCCACAACCTGGCACCATCTGCCCTGGATTTGACGCGAGGGAGAGGCGAGGCACTGCTTTTTGGTCGGTTGGGACCTTGCATATGATCACCGAGCTTGGCTGCCACTTGCCTACCAGCTGTGAAATCTAGATCCATGTCTCTTAGCGCTTGCCTAAGCCTTTTCAAGAACATCATGTTGGTTGTCGTATTTGCACAGCAAATCGCAACCCCTTTTACGCTGCAGAGATTTTGATGAGATGCTCATTACGCTTCTGCAGTTACATGCAGACGCGCTGCATACCGCGTCGTTTTTCTCCGTTGGTTGGAGCGGCACAGATCTTGTTGGTGCCGAGAAATGCCTTTCCGGAGGATAAGGTGGCAGTGTCTGATAGATGTCAGACATCCTACTGGTGCCAAAAAGACCTTAATATATGTCGTAACTGCAATTTTCTTTGTGAGCTGGTTGTCGACGATGGTCGGATTATCCGCAGACGAGCTTCTGTGACTCGCCTTCTTGAATGATGATTGCCGCTGAACAATGACGCAAATCTTGACGAGGTCATCGTAACAAAAAAAAAAAAGAGGAAGGAGACGAAGGAGACGAAGGAGACGAAGCAGGGTAGGTGACACTGAGAATTATGATGATAAGCTTGTCGCACGCAGACCACATCATCCTTGTGGTTATCCAGGTATCTGCAAGTGAAAAATGGGCAGAATATCAGCTACCTCAGTCTTCAGAGCTGGAGTAAGGCAGTTTTTTCTCTCTTTACTTGTGCAATACGACGCGTGTCAATAGTACCCAGAGATGTCTTCTCACCCCAGAACTTTGACCGAGGGGCTTCCAGCTGAAAAATGAAATAAAATGCTTGTGCCTTCCCGGCGTTGACAATCCATCTTAGATTCCATCGTGATCAACGGAAGGAAGACGGATCATACAGGTTGGAGCTTGGTCCACCGGTTTGGAGCTCCACATGAGCTCCTTCTCAGTGGAGGCTTAGAGGATGGGGGCACCCGGACTGGAAGGAAGGCGCCGGAATTGGTGACGGTAGGTATCCGTGCTTCCCCTCTGGAGAGGTGGCTTGTGTCCAAAAAGTCACGTGATTTTGAAACGCCACAATTGGCTGTAATGTGAATCCTTTGCTCCAGCCTCTTTGCCCAGCGTTGTGCAAAACCTGGGGCAGCTTCCGGTAATTGCACGCTGTTTCTCTGGCAGCGCATCACAGCTTCCTTCCACCTTTTTGTCTTGTTGTCTTGCACAACCTTCCATTTTAGCCCATTCAGACCCGCTGCTGCCTAGGAAGACTGATTATAACTCTCGGAATAAATACTTCCTACACAATGCCTCCCGGTAAGCTCTCATCTCTGCGAATTTCACATCTCGCGCCATCAGCCAAGTCGCGTCGAGATTGCGACAACCCACTTTACGACGCGAAAACACAATCAATTCCCTATATCACGTCACGATGCCGGGTCGCAAAGCAACCAAGTCAAAGGAACCCAAAAGGTTAACAGCTCCTGCAGCTATTAGCGACGAAGAGATGTCCGACGCCGGCGGCGAAATCGCCATCCCGCTAAAGGAGAAGCGCGCGAAGAGCCGATCCGCGGAATACCGAGACGATGTCAGCGAAGCCAAAAGCGAAGACGACATTCCCGTGATCTCTGGCGACCTGAATGGCGATGCCGCCAAACCTGTCAAGCCAGACTCTGCGGAGGCCGGCGATGAAGAGGAGGAGGAGGAGGAAGAAGAAGAGGAAGGCGACGAGGACGATAATTTGGAGGCCGATGAGTACGTTAAGCGCAGCAAAGGGCTTCGCTGGGATGATGGGGCTGACCTGCCATAGATACGTTGTTGAGAAAATTCTTGACCATCAAGTTGCTGACGACGTAAGTGCTCCTCCATTGTCAAGGTGCCTCGATTCCAACGCGTTTTATAGGGCACCGTGAACTTCCGAGTCAAATGGGAAGGTTACTCTAAGAAAGCAGATCAAACCTGGGAACCCGAAGACAGCTTGAAGTAAGTTGAACGCTGTGGCTCTGCGATCAATACAAACCTCGGAACTTCGCCTCACACGTTAACAGGGAAGGCGCATCAGAAATTTTGGAGGAATATCTTCGGAAGCTGGGTGGGCGCGAGGCGCTGTTTGAGGAGAAGACCAAGGCCAAGACCACAAAGAAGCGCGGCCGTGCCGGTGCCTCGTCGTCCACGCCACCGGCGAGCAGCAAGAAAAGCAAGCGCAATGGTCACCCCGCCGAAGCTACTCCTCCCGCGTCAGCAAAGGAGGCCAAATCTAAGGCCTGGACACTGCCCAGTGGCAGTTGGGAGGATGGCGTCGAGTCGATTGATGCCTGCGAGGACGAAGAGTCGGGCTCCATTATCATCTACCTCAACTGGCGAAACGGCCAGAAGACTAAGCATCCCAAGGAGGTGGTGTATAAGCGATGCCCCCAAAAGGTATGGCCCTATGCGTTCCAACGCAAGATGATGGCACTGACGGATGCTTAGATGCTGCAATTCTACGAGAAGCACATTCGCATCATCAAAGCGGGACCTGACGCCGAGGTCCCGGAGCCGGATGCCGTCCTCGACGCCGAGGTATAGGAAACCAACAAAAGGATGCCGTTCGTGGAATTTTTTGGGAAGGGATTGGCGTTTGGGCTCTTGATACATTTGCTATCATCAGCAGGCCCGCGAGCGCCGTTCGCTTGGCTTCTGCTCGTCTTGATATTTGCACGCTTTTAGTCTTCGGAAGAAGTCTCAGCAGGTTTCATCTAACACCAGGTTTAGGACTTTCCGGACAGTAGCGGGCTTGCTTTATTGTGACTCAATTAGCGGGAGGAGGTGTTCTATACGGTTCGGCTTCGTAATTTCTGAAGAAAGGAAGACCGCAAGTTCTCCAGTTGATTCCAGTTGCTGCGATCTACATCCAATGCGTTAGGTTGCGCCTCACTGTAAGGTAGATGGCGTTGGACCAATCTAGGGCACTTACATTGCCAACCTAGATTTGCAACATGCAAACGCAGCCTCAACTGACAAGAACCTCTGGGCCTTGATATAATATGATAAGGCCTTCCTACGTGGTCCGGTATCCGCCGGAATCTTTATCTCAGACTCATGAAGGACACACCATCCTTGTAATCAGGCGGGTGCCGCCGAGTGTTAGATCCAGGTACGGCGCAGGTACAGCTAAGTCATCGTCGAGTAGTGTTTCTAGGTCTATCAGGTCACTAAAGGCACGATTTTACTTATAAATATACATCCGACCTCACTCCCCAAGGTAGAGGATTATTGCGACAGGGGGTAGAAACCTGCAGGTTGTGAGTGTGCGAGGTTGGGTAAGTGGAGGAGGGGACTCGGACAACAGCAGCCGGCGGATACTCCACTGAAAAGCAGCTTTACATCCCTGCATCGCAGGCGGCTGGACGAGTGGGAAAGCCTGAAAGTTGTGCCACGGGTGAAGGGTGGGAGGCGCGGTAGCGTCAAGTACCTTAGGTTGTCGCGGATTTTTTTTTTCCCAGGGTGGTGTTGGGCGAGTGTGGTGACGGGCCCAGCCTCTCGCATTTCTATTGACTTTCCCGGGTTTGCGGCTGGGCGGACGCTGGAAAGCTGGTGGCGGGGCAACGCTTCTTTTTAACGTGAAGCTGCCCGCGCTGCATTCCTCACCACTGCCATCGATTCCTCCTCCCCCTCTACTCTTCCCTCTTATACATTGCACACTCGCATTGCGAAAAGGGTTTATTTGACCAACCACGAGGTTTCTTTTGAATTCTCTCCTCTATCTCCTCTACATCGACAAGTGAACAATTCCATTGTTCCTCTGGGTCTCTACCGTCAACCTTACCCACATTTCGGACCCATACAAACCGGTACTCTGTGAGCTCGCCTCAGGGGAGACTCTCGAGTTGCTCGCCCACGGATTGAAATCTCACTCACCCTCAGCGACGACAATTCCCAGCTCTCACTGGAATTTGAACCGAGGGCACTTGTCTGACGGGTCATCCCACAGACATAGACAAACCTCGGACCGTTGAAAGATACCCCCAAACTCAATCGTCTTCCCGAGACCACCACATTCCTCGGCGTCTCCGCCCTGACCGCCGTGTCTTCTCTCCCCCAGCCACCAGCTCTCCACACAAGCTGTCCCGCCCGTCCCACACCGGCGCCGCCTCAAATCAACCGCCCCCCCACCACCAAAAATAATCGCGGTCTAACCCCAACACCGGCCGTTGGTGCTCCGTCAGCCTCACCTCTGACCTGACGTGGAATCCCAAAAGTACCCAAGACCAAAATAATCACCATCCTAGACAACAGCCATGGTCAAACAAAACGACGTCATCGCGATCATTGTAATCGTCCTATTCGTCGTGCTGGCCCTCGTCGCGTTCGGAATCTACAGATTGGTTCACGTCGCCCGCCAGAGCATGAGCGTGACGTCCGGCTCGAGTAGTAGCAGCTCCGACGAAATCGTCGACGACTGATCTACCGGGCTTTTTTTTTTTTTGCGCGGGGCTTGACTTCCTTTGCCAATGCCCGCTGCTATTGCTACCATCGGCATTTACACTGAGATACCGCGATGAAAGATTTATGCAAAAGGCGCCCATTACGCTTTTGGTTTATGAGCGTAATGCCAAGGCTTTTGGCTGAGACTACGACATGAAGGGACGTTGAGGGAAGAGAACAAGAAGGGATGAATCTGGTATGAGTGATAATGAGGAGGGAATCTCGGAAACAAGGCAAGGGATATGAGACATGATATATCAGCATTTTATCTGGCATTTAAACAGCATTTCTTACTTATACAGAATTGGTTACGTGGGCTGGGTTTTCAGCAAAAGACGCAGCGAAAATGTGTCTTGGGGAAGGATATCTACGAGTGTATGATACAAGTCAGGTGTACATATGGATGGGCTCCGCCGGATTGGCGACGACCTCTTGGAGGATGAGATGAGCCGATATAGTTAGAACGAATGAGGAGTTTGGAAGGCCTCACAAGGCTGAAGATGACAATGGAAATGACTCCCAGACACCACCACACTTGGCCGGATCGTCGGACCCCTTTTGTCTTAATGAAGGAGACCGAAACTTGAAGACATGAAAAGCGTTTCTTCGTCCTCTAGGTGGTGCTTATGCTCAGCATTCAGGTATATCGGACTCGAGTTCCAGTCCCGGCCCCGAGATCGTGACATTGGCATGGCAGATGTTGGGATTTGAAGTGGACACCCGTTTCGTCCCTTTTGTCAGTCGGTGCCTGGAAAGCTCCTTGAGAGTTCAAGATTCTCTACAACCCAGGCCGTCCGTCGATCTCGGCCATCGTTTATGTATTCGTGATCAACAATCACGAATGCACTCAAGCGGGAGATGACGGATACTGAATGACTCTGTTGTTCTGACACTGAGAGACACTTTGAGGAAAAGTGATTAGACAAAGATCGGCACCTGACAAGCCTTCTTTTTCACCACGCTCCCATGTCTTTGTGGCGCGTCGAGGTCCAGGGACACACCATGTTCTAAAGGAGCTAGAAAAAGAGGAAAGGGTTGGGCGTGAGTTCCCAGTGCTTTTGTGAAAGCCCCATGGTGTTGGTGCTGTTCTCACCAAGAAGCTTGTGCTATATCTATATAGCGTAACGAGGTCCAAAGACACCCTACACTCCCAGGGAACTGGAACCAAAAATAAAAAGGTCTGGCGTGAGTTTCTTGGCTCTTTGCAAAATCCTTGGCATCAGTGTTGATCTCGATTTCAAAGAGCTCGTACGTGTGCGTGGTACATCTAGGTTCAAGGACACACCGGGTTCTTTAGGAGCTAGAACAAAAGATGGAGGGTTAGCCTCGACTTTGTTGGCTCTTTATGAAGCTCCCAGTATCAGTACTGCTCTCAATTCCAAGGATACTGTTCGCCAACCCCAGAGATGGTCTTGGTGCAGCATTTGTCGAGAGGAGTAAGTGCGGAGGGGGGGGGGGGGCGCAATGACCACAATGAAATGTTAAACCTTCCCCTGTTCATATTATCTCACGCTTGATTTAATTAAAAATAAAGGAAGAGAAACTCCAGCTACGTGAAGGGCATTTCCTGAAAGAAACTATAACCCCCAAGTGGCACTTACTTCGTCGCAAAGAAAGACCGGACCAAAAGGCCAGGGTCTGTTGCACGAGGGACTGACCGTGGAAACACTGCGATCGAACATCGGGGGAGTCGCATCAGAAGTCGGTTGTGATAAGCAGGGAAGTGACGGATGACTGGTTCCGGGATGATATCCAGATGGGAGGCAAGGAGAACGCGACTCGAGAGGCCCAGACGAGCCCTCCGTATGACCGATCTGACTCAGGCGACCGAGCCGTGGGCACAGGCGGAGGGAGGCGAGGACCAGCAAGTCGTTGCCCAGATTTCCGGCACTGACTCGAAATAGTGGCGACGAGGTCGGATCCGTATATGGCTTCAAGGATATGGGGATGGTCGCGGCGCCTTGGTGTCCATATATTAAAAAAAATTCAGTTTCCGGCTTGAAATATCCTACGTATGGTCAGTCTTGGAACGGTTGAAGCAAGCAGACTCGGATGACTTCGACTGATGCTAACTTATTTGGCGGTACTTAGACGCTAGGCAATCTAAGACGAAAAGAAGGATGAGTGATACATGGCATGTAGACGAGGCAAAGAAACATGAAAGCGTTCTCTCGGTGAAACGGACGCAGCTGAGGAATGAACTGAGAAGCTTTTCAGGTTAACCAGGAGGCCGAGGGGCGATTGGAAAGTTGCACGGAAATGCCTAGGTAAGATGCAAGCCGTAAGGTTTTGCACCTGGTATTGGTATACCACTGGTGACCAGAAGCAATGCAGCTGAAGATAATTGGAATGATTCAAAGAACAACGATAGACTTGCAGTCCTTGAGATAACTAACTATCGTAGAATTGGCCCGAAACACCCGTTCATGGCTAGAGTGATCAAAGCCTACGTGAAGGCATGGGGCGAGCCCACTGGCGGTGAGAGACTCAAACTGGTCGAGGCGATCTGCTACAGATTAGAACGAGGATCTATCTCTCATCGACAGTGGCCGCTCACCATCTCTTCACTTTGAATAGTTGAGAGATCCCAATATAAGCTTAGTCTCTGCTTTCAATGTAGAATCGAACGATCAATTGATAAAGTATGCAGTACTTCAATTTCATCTTCATGGTTGCTTTCAATTCGTCCGAGTAAAGTCACGGGCGGGCAGAAACAAAGAAGAGCCTCCCGAGCCTAGATGAGAGGCTGAATATACTGGCTCAGAAATGTAGCAATGCGTAATTTCCAAGAGACTTATGACAACCTGAAGTGAAATGGAAGAAAAGAAGACCAATTAAGCATGACGGTATTGGGAGGTAAAAGCCCTGCAGGGGCCCTCCCCGCGACCAGGAAACCCCAGACGATACGTTCTTGACACCTCTTTAACCCACCGACGCGCCTCAGCACGTCAATCGCGTCTCTCACTTGTTCACTTTCACGAAATTTCCCATCCTCCGATCTGGTCAAACTCCGAACACACGTTCGACCAAAGAGAACAATCACTTCATCCGCAGCATTTCTCGATACCTATCCTCTACTTCAAACATCGAGACACAGCGACAGCGACCACCGAGCGCCCCCGGACAAGATGCCCGTACTCGAACGCCGCAGAGGCCAACGCCGCCCAGAAAGGCGCACCGGTGACAACGACGACGACAACGACGCCGACGGCCCCCAAAATGCCCTCCCAGAATACGAGCCCCTCTCGTGCCCCCTCTCCGCGGAAGCAAAACGCGCCATCGCGGACCTCTCCAACAGCCGCGACGTCCACCGCTACGAGAACCACCTAAAGGCCTCCATCAGACACCTCGGCTTCTCCGTCGTCGGCATCAACGACGCCGTCCGCACGCGGCACGAGACTCTCGCCCGCTTCGCCGAGAAGCGCGCCGAATCGCAGTCGCAGTCGCAGGACCATAAGATGGAAAACGACAGCGGCAGCCACGAAAAGTCCCAGCGCGAGGTGGACATCGAGGCGCACACGGCCGGGCTAGACGACGAGGTGCCCCGCCTGACGGCCGAGGCCGAGGCCGCGCTGCGCGATCTCATTGACAGGCAGACGGAGCTCTACGACGAAAAGGCCGCGCTCGCGGACACGGTCTCGTACTTTCAGGCGCTCCCCGAACAGGCGCCCCGCCAACGTAGCGGGCGCACACGAGCGGAAGCCAGCGGGCGCAGCGGCGGCGGCGACGACTCGAACCCCGAGGAGGCGGACGAGAACGAAGCAGCAGACGAAAGCGCGCTCCCGCCGCCGCCAGAGTACTCTGCGATCGACATCCTGCGCCAGCAGCGCGCCGAAAAGCTGAATGAGTACGAGCGCATGACGGCGTACCAGCGCTACGCCGTCAACAACGACTACGCCGCCTTCAAGAAGCTTTGGCACGACGCTGCACACGGCGACGCCGAGGTCCCCCTGCCCAACGCGAAGCGCTGGTTCGACGACGCCGGGAACCCCGTCATGCCCGTCGTAAACCGGCGTGGCGACGCGAACAGTGAATCGGCCGCGGCCGCGGCCGCGACGGCCGGGGCGGACGACAGCGACGATGACCTCGTCATTGCCGGGGAGAATAGGGAGTACAGGTGTCCGCTGTCCATGCAGCTGTTCAAGGACCCCGTCAGCAACAGCGCGTGCAGCCACACGTTTGAGAAGGCGGCGATTACGGAGTTCCTACGCAGGGCGCCGGGTCAGCGGGCGCAGTGTCCTACGGCTGGTTGTTCCAAGGTAAGTGGAAGTCCTTCCGTCGAGAGAAACCCCCATCCCCCTCTCCCATATGCTGACGAGAAGGACAATAGGAAATCGGTCTCAAGGACTTGTATGACGACCCAGTCATTCTGCGTAAGATGAAGCGCGCTCTGGAACAGCAGCGCCGTCGGGAAGAAGAAGAGGAGGAGGAGGAGGCAGAGCAAGAGGACAATTCGGAAGGAAACGGAGACGATGATGAGCCGCGGGTGGTGAAACGAGAGGGTCGGTCAGGGAGGAAGAAGCGCAAGGTGGAGGACATTATTGATGATGACGATTGAGGCGCGTGCTGGTACCGTTCATCTTGCGGTGAGCAAAACACTGGCTTTCTGAAATGCGTTGACCCAGGACGGTAGAGAGACGGGAACGAAGTGATGATACCCCCCCCACACCCACCGCCCCACCCCCCACCCCCCCCCCCCCACCCCCCACCCCCCACACCCATCCCCCCCCCACCCCACCGCCTCGTTCACCTACACCAACATCACGACAACCTATAACACCTCCACCTCATCACCACCCACTACTCCACTCCACGCCCCCCCCCCCCCCCCCCCGGCCCGCTCCCCTACACAGAGTACACGGTGGCCCCCGCTGGCATTGATGGATGTCCACGAATGCTTTACAACTTACCTGCAGTTGTACAGCCCTCCGTGCCTGCCTGCCATTCCTGCGCCTGCTCTGTCCGAATTTCTCCACGGTGGCGCTATCTACCTGGTCCTTCGCCCACTCCAGCACCCCCCCGTGTTGTGGCGCGGCCACCTGGTCTCCCCGAAGTCTCAG